ATTGCAGATTTTTTCTGTAATTTGCTCGTTTCTGCAAATAGAGCACATATGCAAGTCGGCCATATTTGCAGAACTGCAAATTTGCATATGCAAATAATACTGTAATTTGGCCCTAAGTCTATATAAAAAAATTATAAAGTAAACTATGCTGTGAATTGAAGTAATGTCCCATAACAATTTATTGGTTAACCATACATCGGAGCTGCAACTTATCAAGAATTAAGAACTGATTGAAACAATTTGTTAACTATGTTTGCCAAGGTCTTATTTGTCTGAGTCTGAGATCATTCAGGAGTAAGGACATGCCAGTATTGACCTCAACTTTTGTTAGCACCATTTTTGCCAATGTCGGTCCGGCTTCTATCAGTTACGAGTATGTTATTCAGGCGTGTGTTGATAGATGTTGTTGATCTGAAAGTTCAGAAGTGCCAAGAGTTCAGAGCAATTTATTTTATTAGTAATTATTTTTAATCCAAACGTGAGTGTAAGGGAAACCCTACGTATCTCCAGGCTTTGGATATTTAGCAGTTGCAGACGATCTTGATGTGAAAACTGGCTTTAATCGATTCTGAGTTTATATAGTAAGAAGTTAACAAACTTCATTTGAACTCGTTCGACGCGTTTAACATGGACTTGGTAATATGGCGACCAGGGGCCTGTTTCATAAAAATGAAGAGTTGATGAGCGACGAGTGAAGAGTGAAGAGTTGAGGAGTAAAAAGTAAACGTCGTTTTTGTTTCAAAATAAATTTGCGTCTACTCCTCAACTCTTCAAAACGTTTATGAAATGAAATGTAACATTATGTCATTCCTCACTCCTCAACTCTTCAACTCTTCATTTTTATGAAATAGGCCCCAGATCATGCAGCAATATTCAAGGTGACTTCGCATCAAAGAAAAGTGGAGAGACTTTAATACCTCAACATTGGAAAATTCCAATGACCTATTAACACAGATAGACAGAACAATAAACAATAATATCGGTTCTATGGGTTGACTACATGCCAGGAACCGCATCTCTCCCCACTACTTATTATCCTCGTGTTATTTTGTATCTTTCTCTAACACGTGGAAAGCGATTATTTTTCAAAGAAAATTAGCAACGCTGCAAAAAAATAAATCCCACCTCGAATTCCACCTTTCCACCAATCAGCGGCTTCTATTCAATTGTCATGTCAAAATGCGAGAAGCAGGTATTTTATGACAATTTCCATTTGTCAATCAGTGCGCAGTGAGTGTATCCGCATCTTTTTCTAAAATTATGTAAAATATAAGGATAAAGATACACTTTTGTAGCACTAATTCTGGTTTCATTTTCAGAGTTGCCAAGTATGCGATAGTAAAATGGGGGCGGAGTTAGCGGAATCATTTGAATCCCTACTCCTAGCCGCTTTCACAGCTCACCCCCCCTGGCCCATAAACATGTAGTCAACCAAAACCAATTTGGCAATCGAAAATTACTCCTAGATCGTTTATTAGGTCTACTCTGGGCAGCGGAGAACATGAAATAAAGTATGAGTAGAGAATTGGGAGCTTTTTGCGAGAAAAAGATATAATCTTGCATTTGGAGATGTTCAATTCTGTTTCATTTGATGTAGGTACACCATTCTGATATTTTATTGACCTCAAGTTGTAAAAGTGAACAATCAAGACTACTGTTCCGGTTAGTAGGTATTTAAACTTCAAATATTTTTATTTCATTCAACGACGCCTCTGGATTTATGAAAAAAAAAAAAATTAAGAGATGGAGAAGAAAAAACAAAACAGAAGTAACCAAGGAAATCAAAAACAAGCAGACGTCACTTTTTTAAAAAATATAAAAGTTTGTCAATTTTGCACGCTGCCACACATTTTTTATATTATTTTTTTTTTTTAAAATAACATTTCTCAAAGCTCGTCTGCAGTCCACTGTTTTCCCTGAGCACAGGGTGGTCCTTCTCCAGTTGAAATACACGCTCGAACATCTACTAGAGATTTTTCTAAAAAAAATTTGATTATCAGTATAAAGTGAATACGATGACTAGGTCGTTGATTAATACGAGGAACAGAATAGGACCCAAATGTGAATCCTGGGGTACCTACTCCAAATGTTATAATTATTTTCTTTAATATGGAACCACCGAACTTGACGATTTTGTGTTCGATCACGAAGATAACTTGCTACCCATGCTAGAAGAGGATCTTTAATGCCAAATGATTCGAGTTTGCTCATGAGGATAACATGGTCAACTCTGTCAAAAGCTTTCTTAAAAAAAAATTAACTGAGTCGACCTGGTCCCCTGACCTGCATCAATTAGGCAATTCAAACCACCTGGCTTTCAAGATGGCGTGGCGGCCACACATGGGCCAAAAAACACAAAAAAATATCTAGATTCTGCCCGATTTATTAGTTTAGGTACCTAGTCAAGAAATATTTTATTAAATAATCCAAATCAAAGTTGCAAGTAAAACTCTAAGCAAAATAATTTGCAATACGCATAAAAACACATTCAAAACAAACTTGCTTGGCCGCCACGCCATATTGAATTTTCCTATCTGACAGATGGATTGAATTGCCTAATAGCTGCAGATAAGTAATGAGAGTAAACGCATAGATTTGTCTGACACGAGCGACCCGACAAGAAGCTGTGTTGATTTTCAGAAAGGCTGCTGTATAAAGCTGACAAAAGCTCGTCACCCACAATGGCCTCGAGAACCTTGGCCAGATAATCAAGGCCCAAAATGTGGCGGTAGTTAACCACATTACCCCTTTCGTCTCCCTTGAATATAGCACATAGGTAGACTTCCATCAGAGGTCTGGAAACTGACCAAAGCTTAGAGATAGTTGAAATAGGCTAGTAAGTGAAAATGTCAAGGTTGGACAAGAGTTTTTTTTACGAAAATAGGGGGTAGGTATGTCATCTGGTCCTGCTCCCTTTTTTCATCTATAAATAGTGATTGCGATATCGCAAACCGTAAATACATCAGACTGAAAGAAATCTGCAAAAAAATCTGCGATGATTTTAGGATCACTGGAATCAACTTTATTAAAAGTCATTTTCGCAGGGTAACCGGCTGTGTAACGTTGGAATTTTATGTACGACCAAAACGTTTTTGTGTTTTGCAAAATATTATTTTGAGCAGTTTCGACGAAGGAATCGTAGTCTCTCTTTATCGAGATTTTTGATTGCGATCTGAGTGTTTTGTACTGACGCTCATGAAATGACAATTTAATTCGTTTATGTTTTTTAAAAGCTTCGTTTTTCTTGTTAATTAGAGCTGAGCTATCGTTTTTTTTTAGAAAAATAGTTAGCGTATTTCAGAGTTGAGATTCTTGTCTTTGGAACAAAAAGATCAATTGCGATGTATAATATAATATAAATAAAATAAAACATAAATAAAACATTTTAAGGGCTTTATCCATGCTGTAGCATTGCAAAAAACTCCAATCAACAGTTTCAAAGTAATCGTTTAACTGATCGTAGTTAGCTTTATAAAAGTTATATTTAAAAAGTTGCAAATCTGATGCGCTGTCTCCCACAATGTCAATGCTGAAACTAATTACCGAAGCAGGGGGTGATGGGTATCAATACCGGTTAAAGGTGATATGTTATTTGATACAGATACCTTTGAGAAATTTGAGAAAACTAGGTCCAGCTTTCCATTATTACACTTAGAAACATTATTGTACTGGACAAGATTATAAAAAAATGTACAGTCATAAAGAATTTGTTCGCACTGATCACTGGAGGTGAATATTTTGTTGAAATCACCGTTAATATCGGCAGTACATAGATTAAGGCAATTGCTATTAAAGGTATCAATTCCTTCACAAATTTCAACTTGAGCAAATAAGTTCGCATAATTAGGTAGATTGAAATTCCCCAGTAATAAAATGTTGGTCCCTGGAAAACAGTCTAACATAAAATTTACTGAAGTGACGAGAGTATCATAGACTGCCGCTTTGGATGATGATGGTATATAGATCGCCGCCACAAAGTTGTTGGTGTTCCAACACCGTACGCTGATCCAGACTTGTTCGATTTCGTTGTCTGACACTGTGCAGGTTGATGATTCAAAGGAACGTTTAACTGCGATAAGAACGCCCCTTGACTTATTCGTTTGATCTGGGTTTTTGTCTCTTTGATACACAACATAGTTCGCAGGGAACAATTCTTCACTGGTGATTCCTTCATTTAGCCACGGTACCGTCTGGGATCTCAGTCCACGGACGTTCTTATATGAGACTGTGATTTGTCCATTATGTGAGATTTCGCCGTTAGGATGATTTGTTTCAGGGGACGCGACGGTAGTATCTGATTCGGAGTCGCTTGACGTAGGATAGGCAAGTGATTGCCTGGAATTTTACAGGTTCTGTTCTGGGACCAGCAACTCGTTGCATGTATACTTGATTATCCTTCTTTTGATTTCGTAGTGTAGGTAACCGTTATAATTACGCTCATAGGTAGACTTGGTATTGGATACTTCTCTGCTGCACTTGTTTCTTGATGCCCAAATTAAATTCATAAATGAAGTTGTTGAGAACTTTCCTGTTGGAGGAGTGACTATTATTAAGTTAGTTCTTTTGGATATATCAGCAATTTTAACGTGGTCAAATAGTCAATCTCTCGACAGTAATGAAACGCTTCCCTACTCGGTATGTAATATACTATTATTTTATCTGCCAATATTCGATGAACAGTTAGTTGTTGTTTATTTATTGTAATCAACCGTCCAAAAACTGGCTTTAGTAAATTCAGAGAATTTTTTCGGCGCTGGCTCTCCATCTATGATGTCAGAATAAAGACCTGATAATAAGAAATATCTACTCCAGAACCAAAAAGGGCCCAGGACTGGCCATATTAGCGAAGTATTGTATAGAGACCTATAATAATAATGTGCCGAAAAACGTGTTAGACGAAAGAAGAAGACTGAAGTTTTCTTTTTGTAACTTACTACATATTATTTGTATATTGTTTTTAAAAAATTGTGAAAAGGCCTAAGCACGAGAAAAACAAAAAATAATTTGAAACGAAGAACATAAATAGTTTATTAATAAATAAAACTGTATGAACAATTTCTAAAAAGAATGTAGGTACATTTAAATAAGTAACAAAAAAACATTTTCAATGGTATTTCAGTCATCGATTTGCTATACTGCTCCTTGAGCCATAATGATTTTCTGGAAAAAATAGAAATTACTACCAATTGCTAATTTATTCAAAAGAAAAATGTCAATAATCAAAATCACTTCAACATCCAATTTACTGAATTGTTTCGAGTTGAATATATTTCTTACCTTGAGTGGTTCCAAAGCATGGGTAGCCTGCAAACCTAAACCTCTCAAAAGAACCACAGGCGCAAAATCAGTATTGTAAAGCCGGTGCAAACCTTCGACGGCCAACATTGTAGGAACATTATGCTTTTGTCTTGCCGATTCGTAGTCTTTTAAGTGGTTAAGATCACCTACAAAAAATAATATGTATTTATAATAAATACGTAATTTTCTGGAAATTCAAGGGATCCAGTTGAAATTTTTTGTTTTACTTACTCAAAGTACTTCCTGAATAAACAGCTTCACCTAAAACTTTATTTAGACAAGCTACATCGCCGAATCCTAGGTTTACACCTTGGCCAGCTAGTGGATGAATTCTGTGGGCTGCATCCCTAGAAATAATAATTGACTTTGACAATGTTTTTTTGAACAGTAAAGTTCTCACCCGACTAACGCCGCCCCTTTTCTGATATACTGACTGGCATGGCCAAAACCATAAGGAAAAGCTGCACGACTTCCTGGTTCAACAGATTCTATCTTCGGCGGCCGTTTCCTCGAATGATCCCTAGAGCAATTGAGCGCTCTTAGTAGGGTATCAAAGGCACTTGTTGCTTGCAGAACTGTTGACGACTGCTTCCATGGTCCACACTGAAATTTAAAGGATATTTATCCACTTTTTTTTTTATCAATATACCTATTAGATAATTTTTACAAATTGCTTGATTTTTGGTAATCTAATGAAAAAACTTGAATAACATAACATATAATGTGCTATTTTTACCATTTGTTGTACAATATTCTAATTTACAGAAATAGCTACATATTTAACTTGCAGATGACGGTTGTAAATCATCATCATTTTAACTATAAATGTTAAAATTAGAACTATGCGTTTCATATTTGTATAATTTCCAAATAAACTCTTACCACTGCTTTATTTATTTCAGCAACGAATTCCTCTTCGGAAATGCCCAACAATCTTTTGGCTTCTTGAGGAGTGGTTGACCAAACTAGAGAGCTCAATTCATCCGTGAGCTAAAAATGACACAAATGTTCAATTATAATTTTCCTGCAGTAAACAATTTCTTGAATGGTAAGGTTGGAACAAAGTTCATAAATACTTACAGGAAGTAAGGCCACTGGACCAGTAGGCAAAAACCTTTGGAAAGCAATTTCATTATCGAATTTCTGAAATAAAAATTAAGATACAATAGAGGTATAGTCTATTCATTTAGGACTTACATTTGAAAATTTCAATGTGGCAACAACGCCCATTTGATTGTGATTCCAGGATACATAGTCAACTTGCATGGCTTTTCTCACTGATGAATTATATCCATCGCAGCCTAGCTGTAAAAGAAAATGGCAAATAAAATTTTGATTTTTTTTTCTTCCTGATGGTTTTTGGAGGATCTTCAGCTCGATCTCGTATCTTCTAATTGTTTAAAAAACATACTTCAAACTTCAAGGAACATTTAATACAAAATTAAACAAAATACAATTAAAAACGTCTAAAATACACAAAAAAAAAATAAACAAAATTATTTCATCGTAAACCGAACCTACTTATAAACATCTGCACCTCATTATTCTCAACTCTATTATTTTCGTTACCCATTTCCAGAATAACTTAAGTTAATTGATTTCAAGAATAAACAGTTCCTGACCGATTTTCCGAATTTATCGTGACCTTATAACTTAAACAAATTTCCCGTTTATTTTACGAAATATTTTTATGGGAAAACTTTTAAAAATAGACGAAGAGATAATGTTGTGCCGGAAAATCCGAAGCGGAGGCTCCAGTTCAACGTCGCGTTTCATCACTAGAAGTGGTATTGGTTTCTGAAGGAATGAGTTAAACATAAAATGGTGAGTTTATTTTATTTATATACTCATATTTAAAATACTGTGGTAAGTGCTATCGAATTTATTATAAGTATATTTTCAATGGTGTATTTTAGATCTTTTTTAAATGATTTGATAACTGAGCCGGAATAGCTACTCTTGATACTGACCAAAATAAAATTTACAGTAGGTATCTGAGCTAGAATTAACAGCTGAAAAAGACATTGCGTTGAATTCAAATATGTTCTAAAGCGTTTTTTCGAACAGCCAAATCTTTCAAAAGATTCTACATCCTTTCGAAATAAGTTTATGAAAAGTAAGTAGGTGTCCAAGTTTCAAAAAGAATCAATTGTATCTACATACTTTTTTAAAGTGTACACACCTTCTTCATCTGCAATATATACTAAATATAGAAAAAAAAACAGAAAACCCTAGGTATTCAAACTTTGGGTTAAATTGTTCATCTACAACTATTTCTGGTAATATATTGCCATGATTCATTGGAGCTCGCTTTTGCCTCACAAATTTCATTTGTGTGAATATTAACCAACATTATACAGGGTGTCATCAGATAAATTGACAGATTTTACAGATAAAATATCTCTAAAACGAGAAAATATAACAAGACGCACTTTGTTCTGGGAGAATAGGGATTTTTTAAATGTTTTTTTTTTTACATTATTGCCGGATCCTAGAATTTCATGAAATTTACAAACAAGCGATTTTTTGGAATAAAAATACTGTAAAAAGTAATAAAATAAGGCTTTCTGACCATTACAAAATATACAGGGTGTTTTATTGAAAATAAAACAGTAATTTTATTTCAAAAAATCGCATTTCCTTGAAAGCAGATTTTAGAATTTGGCAATACATACTGTAAAAAAAAACCTTTAAAAAATTCGTATTCATCCAGAATAATTCGCATATTGTTATCTTTTCTTGTTTTCGACATATGTATTTACCTGCAAAATGTGTCAGTTTATATAAGGACACCCTGTATTATGCACGTCGAATAATAACTTATACTATTTTTATATCAACTACGGAAGTTTATTATAGAATTTTATTTTCTGGTATGGATCTTTCACGATTATGTTAGTTTGAGAATTAAGAAGTGTGGGTTTTTTGGTAAATGTCAGACTTTGAAATATAGTATACCAAATCTAACAAAGTTGGAATTTTTTATTTTTAAGAGTATTTTTATGCTTCCGGTAGTTTACTGATGTTGAAACTTTCTACAGTATAATGCCATATTATGAAGTAAAGAAGATGTTGGACTGTAAATCTGAAATGCAGCTAATTATTTTATAGAGGGGTATTTACAGCAAATTTTTAAGCATTTTTCTCTTTAAACAATTCAATGTACCTATTACGTTATGAATATATTATGTAAATCAAGAAATTTAAATTTGTTTGTTGTTTTACACGATGATTTACGGGAAGTTGGCTTGGTAAACGAAATTTCTTCAAACTTTATAGGCAATTTGATGTCTATTAAGGCCATACTCTCCGTAGTCCATGAAGCCTGGCTTAGTGGAAAAGCTCGGCTTAACCACACAAAAAGCCAAGCGTTCCCACTAAGTCAGGCTTTATGAACTTCGGACAATATGGCCCTTAAACATCAAAATTTGTTATTTCCATCGTAAATTTAGCAATTTTTGATAGCTGTCAAAGTTGAGTTTGACAATTAAATGTTCAATGAAGTTGTGAAAGCGTTGACAGTTGACTTTCCTCAAATATTTTGTTTTGACAGTGATGGCTTAGCGATAGGTATTCCTTAAAATGACACTTTTACATGAATAAATGTCACTTTAAGGAATACTCATCGCTAAGGCTTCCTTAAAATAGTGTAAAACGGTATAAACGGCGATAAGATGCGATTCAACGTCTGTTAATTAAAATTTGTTACTTCCATACAAAAATATTTGACTCTCCTAATTTGGCAATTTTTGATAGCTGTCAAAGTTGAATTTGACAGTTGAATGTCCAATGAACTATTGAAAAAATTGACTTTTCTCAAGTATCATTATTTTGATAGAAGAGGCGATTCAGGGCCGAATTTATAGTCGTTTCTTGAGTCTTTCTTGGAGGCCGTGAGTTTAGGATGGAAACTTGTTTCTATTTTGACAAGTTAGTCATGTCAATTCTAAACGTTCAAGGCGTTCCCAAGATCTATCAAAGAGCGACTATAAATACGGCCCTTTTAATGTACCTACAGTTGTGAACATTAAAAGTGGGACACCCGACTGACAGGCATTGTCATTTTTCGCTATTTTGGGTAAATCAGGGCCGAATTTATAGTCGGTCCTTGAGGTTTCTTCAGATCTTAAGGAAGCCTTGAACATTTAGAATTGACATGACTAACTTGTCAAATAGTAGCAAGTGTCTATTGTAAGGAAGATTCAAGGAACGACTATAAATTCGGTCCTCAGTCTTTTCTGTACAACGGATTTTTTGTCAAATATGACAATCCCTGTCATTGCCGACGGTGTAGCTAGTGAGCCCGTTTTACAATAGGAAAAATCGGGTGTCTCATTTTCAATGCTCACGACTGTATGTACAATCGTGAGCATAAAAAGTGAGACACCCGACTGAGAGGTCTTGTTATTTTTCGCTATTTTGGGTAAATCAGTATTTTTTCTACATTGGATTTTTTGTCAAACATGACAATACCTGTCATTGCCGTAGGTATAGCTGATGAGCGCGTTTTATAATAGGAAAAAACGGGTGTCCCACTTTTTATGCTCACGACTGTCACTGTATATTAATAATTTATTGGCAACTTTTGATAGTTGTCAAATTTTTATGATACCAATTATTTTACTCTGTCTTGGCTGATATTCGAATAAACGAAGCACTTCTTTCTGGCCTATACTCTGTCCAACGAACCTACGTAGTGAACATGACGGAGCTAGTCAGCCTAGTCTACACTGCACAAATACCTTCAAATGTTATAATACGAAATTACCAGTGGCGTCGGTATACCTTTATTATGATACTATAATAATTTAATACATATCAAAAATCATGTATGTACAGGGTCATTTTTTATATTTTCCCACCCCCCTTAACTTTTTTGTGCCACTCTGTATAAAAAAAAATGTAAATAGGCAAGGTGTAGTGCTTGAAAAATAGTTCTCAGAAAGCATAGTTTTGTTCATACAGGGTGTTGCAAAAAGTTTAAAAAACTAAAAAAAAATATTTTTTTGTTTAAATGGCACATCCTGTATATTATGACATTTATGGATTCTGCGGAAAATTCTAGACATATTTCATGTATAATGTCATATATAGTCCAACAAATATCATTTTAAAGTCACGTGATTTTTCTCTATCCTTGTTGAATACATCTCAAACAGCGGTGATAGTAAAATTGACAAAAAAATTGCTGTCTAATTATTCTTCATAATATTCTTACCTGAAATAGAATCCGTCAGTGTCATCAATTAGTTTGTCAAAGTTATTTTCGAAAATAATACAATGAACAAACACAGCTAATAATTTTGACTATATTAACCTTTTTCCAACTCGAAAAGAAGCAAATAGAAAACGGGTACCCAGTTTAAGTTCAGAATGTATTACAACAGACAGCAGATACGACAAAAGTGAGTCTCGCAACAATTGCAAGTATTAAAATTGCCCTCTGATTGGTTAATACTACTTCAGAAACGCGTTTGTAAAATGCTAGTAGGAACATATCCTAAAATTCAATAGTAATTAATCACCAGTAGCATTTTGTAGGTGATATGAACGACATAATCAATGGACATACGTTTTTTGTCACCAGTATCACGTGACTTTAAAATGGTATTTGTCGGACTATACCTATCTTCAACTGTTTCGGAAATAATGACAGTAGAAAATTGACTTTTGAGGGGCTGTAAAACCTAAACTGTTAATTTTACAGCAAAATCGATTTTACATTCCTATCTTAGATTTTCATAAGCTATCATTTGACACCAACTGTTAATTTAACCGGAGATTAAATTTAATTGGAATTTTCAATCATCGATTAAATTCAAAGTTGGTGTCAAATGATATTTTATGGAAAAATAAAAAAAGCAGGTATGATCGGTTTTGCTGTAAAATCAACCGTTTAGGTTTTACAGTCTGTCAAAGATGCAAAAAAGTCAATTTTCTACTGTCATTATTTCCGAAACAATTGAAGATAGGTATATAACATTATACATGAAATATGTTTAGAATTTTCTGAAAAATCCAGAAATGTCATAATATATATGGTGTCCCATTTAACAAAAAAAATTTTTTGTTTTTTAAACTTTTTGCAATACCCTGTATGAACAAAAGTAGGGTCATTTTTTATATTTTCCCACCCCCCTTAACTTTTTTATGCCACTGTGTATAAAAAAAATTAAATAGGAAAGTTGTGGTGCTTGAAAAATAGTTCTCAGAAAACATAGTTTCGTTTATACAGGGTGTTGCAAAAAGTTTAAAAAACAAAAAAATATATTTTTTCAAAAGAAACACCCTGTAGATTTTGACATTTCTGAATTTTGCGGAAAATTCTAGACATATTTTATGCATAATGTCATATACCTATCTTCAACTGTTTCGGAAATAATGACAGTAGAAAATTGACTTTTCTGCAACTTTGAGAGGCTGTAAAAGCTAAACTGTCAATTTTACAGCAAAGCCGATTTTACATTCCTATCTTCGCACCGTTGGTGTCAAATGATAGCTTATGAAAATCTAAGACAGGAATGTAAAATCGGTTTTCCTTTAAAATTAACCGTTTTGGTTTTAAAGTCTGTTCAAAATGCAAAAAACTCAATTTTCTACCGTTATTATTTCCGAAACAGTTGAAGATGACATTATCGATGAAATATGTCTAGAATTTAAAAAATGTTTAAAGCCTTAGCACTTTCGGTAAACTGGAAGTGAGATCTAAAAAAAAAGTATCTAAGTATATATATAGAAAGCAACCCATTAATTCACAAAAAAACTACAGTTATTCTTTTTTCAAAAACTGTTTTGTCCAATTTTTTTTTTTTAGTTGACGTTCATATTTTTTCAAATATCACTCTACTCTTTACTGTAATTTTTCAATCATCAAATAACTGTGGCAGTTTGGACTTCCGTTATAATATAAAAATAAAAACCAAAAATACAGGGTGTCCGAAAAAAACGGTAATATGAAGAGGTAAATGTGGATATTCACCTTCGAATTCTACAGGTAATTACATAGGTGTATTTAATTTAATTCTCTTTAATTGAGATCGAAAGAATACCTGGATTGTAAACGGAATATTTTTAGTGTTGCCATTTTAAATAATAATAATTATTTTTCTGGTGTTCCTTGAAGGGTCCTCCACCACGTAGTGCATAACTATATAACTCATTTTTTCCTTCTTTCTATCTCTAAAAATAAAGGGTGTTTCCATAAGAAAGTGTCTAATTTGGACCACCCTGTACAGGTAGAATGGTTCACAAAATCAATTAGTAGGATAGTATTTTTACAATTTTTGGAGCCGAATACATAAGAGACTGCTCAACCAAATATAGATAAACTATACATTTTTGGAATCGGGGCAGTGTGCTCTTCAAGAACATAAAACCAAATATAGGGCATCCCATCAGAAAAAAGCTAAAAGCATGCATCATTTCACATTTTTGACATTCAATTTTTGTGTCTGACTATGGAGTCTAAAAATTTAGCCAAAACTGTACCTTTTTTGTATTCACACTTTTCTTCTACCTGTAAAGGTAAATGCTTTAGGTGGGGTTTCAATATACAAAAAAAACACCCAAAATTTCCTGCCAGTCTTTCAAATTTTAACCACTAAGTATGTATACAATTGAGATTCAGCTACTTAAACAAAACGAAATTTGATTACCCATTTTGTGGTTACTTTTAGCCTGGATAAAATAAACTTTTCAAGTGATGTTTATAGTTCGAGAAAATATCGGCTTTTGTAGAATATCCATCACCCACGTGGCATATTATTATGTTGGAATATTTTCGGAGGATTCAATTATTGTTGATGCAACAAAATTATTTCAATGTGTCAAAGGCACACAAATATAAAATGTATGAGAAAATAAAACCTTTTATGTATAAGATTTTGTTGATCCTGAGCTTCATATTAACAAATAAAAAATTCTCCAGCAAGACTTTACAGGCTCGAAAAAATATTCATCAGAGAAATATTGAGCATTTAGAAGAACATACAGATTCATATTTGATGATTAAATCAACCATGGACCAGAATTCAATAGTATTGGAGGAATATTTCGTCTCTCAGACTATCAAATCCAGAAAAATTGTTTGTTGGACATCCCATATTGGAATTTCAAATAACTCTCGTATAGAACTGAACAAGAAAAGGATGGGTTTACACTTTTACACTCAAAGTAATAAGGAAGTTGTATTATTTCATTTATTTTTCTGTTCAAATAAAGAGCAGAAAATTTCGATTATAGGAATGTGTTATATAGAATATCGCAGAAATGATGTCGGGAAAGGCGAAAACCAATTACTTATAGTGAGCAACACTAGCTCAAAAGCTTGATTACTAAATTTGTAATCTATTTTTTTTTTCAAGCTAAAAATTCCAAACGTGCTCACATATCTGGCAACAATGGACCTTGCCAAAGAAAGACCGTTCATTTACAAAGATGCGAATTTGAAATGGGCCGACGTCAGCATCAGCCTTGAGGAACCATCTTTCGAAGTTACCACCGACGACGAAACGGGTTCGGATTGCGAAAGCGAACCCAGAGCCAGAACGATACCGGTGCAACAGATTTGGGACATGGAGGTTTTGTGGAACGAGCTCCAGGTAAGAAATTTGTTGGGAATTGGTTAAAGTTAAAACAAGTCTTTCCCAGGCGCTTCCAGGTGGAGAAGAAGTAAGAGATTTGATAGCAAAAGAAATGATCAACGATATTTTGGGGAAAAACAAAGAGACGGCTTTTTTATTGGCTGCTTGGCTAGGAAAAAATGAAGTTATGAAGCTATTAATTGATGAAAAAGTAGATGTTGATACTAAAGATAAATATGGCAGGTGAGACATTTTATATTCAGATTGGCCTGCCTGTATTTCAAAACATCATTCGCTAGATTACGCTACATTACTTTGTATTCACAAATACAATTCTTATTCAATCAAAATTTTAGAACAGCACTCCATCTAGCGTCATATGCAGGCCATTGCGACTGCGTAAGCCTGTTACTCCAACATGGTGCAGACGTAAATATCCAAGACAAACAAATGTCGGTCACTCCATTGCATTGTGCAGCGAGCATGGGTCATCTTGGCTGTTTGAAGTTGCTTATCAAATATGGCGCTCACGTCAATGTCGGCATCGAAAAAATGAGCCCCTTGCATTATGCCGTTCAGAATTTGGCGGTAGATTGTGTCAAGGCATTGTTGGAAAGTAATGCCATACCAAATACGCCACAGGTAATTGTGATATTTTTTTTAAAAATTGCCACATTAAACAATAATAATTATTCTAGGTCTACAGTGAAGCACCACTTCATGTAGCAGCAGCTTTTGGCAATGTTGAAGCCATTGAACTATTACTACAATATGGGGCAGCAGTGAATGTTCAAAGTGGCGTAGACAAACTGACACCGCTCCATCTAGCGGCCGAACAAGGATATCCTTCGTGCGTTCAGCTACTAATGGATGCTGGGGCAATTGTAAACTCAACAAATCGAAAAAAACAGACGCCGTTACATTTGGCTGTACTATCTCAATGTACGGAAACGATGGAATTGCTGTTGCAAAAAGGCGCAAACCCCAACGCACCTGACTGCGACGGAAGGACACCTCTACACTGTTCTACAGTCAACGTGCAGCGCCAATGCGAATGCGTGCGCACTTTGTTGCATTACGGTGCCAATCCCAACGTTTCTGACGCCTATGGATATACTCCGATGCATTCAGCAGCTTTAAATGAATTTTCCAACTGTGTGGTGTTGCTGCTGCAACACGGCGGAGATGTTACCATTAGGACCAAGGGAGGCGTATCGGTTTTGAATTTTATTACCAAGAAAACTCCCGAGGTGATCCCAAAGTACATGACTAGGTAAGATGCAGTTTTCTTAATCGAAAATTCTATTTAACATTGTGATTTGCATGTGACTATGTTAAAGCTAGTAACATTACTGATTTTCATATAAACCATTTCATGGGTAATAGCATAATAAAAAGATGATGTGTGCTCAGTCAAACCTCGATATCACAGCGACATTTTCATTGAAACTTGAAATTTTCATTTCATCATAAGAAAGTTCAGCAAAGGCTTGCAGGTTTTAGTTATCTTGAATTCTTTGCGCAGACAATCAGAAAATTTGTCTTCCATTTTCTTGTTGTTTGACGCTATAAGTTCATCATCAACATACAGTGCCATAAGCAGTAAGTTTGTACCCTCTTTCTTTATAAAAAGACAAAAAGCTTCTCTTCATTTGAAATCAATTTCAAGGATGTATTTTTCAATTCTCTTATTCCAGCATGTGGGTGCCTGTTAGAATACATATAAGCTTCTTTGAAGTCGACATACTTTATCAGTCTGTTCAACTTCTCTACACGAAAAAGCTGTTGACACGTCAAATTACGTTAGATTTAGATTTCCACTTCCAGCGATACTCAGGAGCACTCTGATTGTCCCAGCTTTGGCAACAGGGTAGAATGTTTTCCTTTGTTTTGTGAAAAAAACCTTTAATCATTAACCCTGCCTTATATTTTTAATTTTTCTATGGAGCCATCTCTATTGTCCCCATTTCATACCCCCATTTGCATGAAATTCATTCTTTCCTTTGTGGTGGCTTCTCCAATGAACAAGTTTTGTTGTCAAAAAGTCACTGCATCTCATTTTTCATTGCTCGTAATCATTGATGCTTTACTCCTCTTCTCAAGACTCTTGATGGATTTCTGGTTGCTGCGATCATGACAAAATCTTCTAGTCTTTGTGTTTTTTTTTTAATTTCACCTTAATTTCTTAGATGTCTTGTGAAAATTTCTTCTTCCTCACTTATACCATTATCTTCTTCTAAAGCTCCATGTTTTACATTACTTTTTATGTAATATTTTTGTCTTGAATCAAGTTCACCTTGCAATAGATGTGTTTATTTTGTGAATCATGAACATTTAGATCTTCTTCATTTTGACAGAGATCATCTTGTGTTTCAGGTCTATGTAACTCCGATTTTTCCGATGAGCTTTGTGAAACTGTGTTATCTCAAATTCTAGGTCGCAATTTTCTAGTGTGTTTTGACCAAATACGATTACCATCATTTTTGTAGCCAATCAAAATTCGTTTTGATGTTTTTCTGTCCATTTTCTTTCTGTTCATTGTTGGAATGTAAGCGTTACATCAACGATAACATGTAGATTCAATAATTCTCAAGTGTTCCAGTCCTGGTTTCTTACCAATTCTTTCTTAAGAACTTGACTTTCCTGATCTATTAAGGATGTCCATAGCTGTGTTCGCCATCTCAGCCCATAAGCTCTGAGGAACTTCTTCCACTGCTGAATAGAACAGGGTTGTTGCTGTTTCTACTGCTGTCGGATTTTCACGTTCTGAACAGCCATTTTGTTCCGGAGTGTAAGGGCATAAGGAATTTCTGACATGTTCCATTTCTGTTGAGAATCTTTCGTAATCCTTGATTGTTAAATTTTTCACCGTTACTGCTAAAAAACTCTCTAACTATGTGAACCATAGCTCTAGCTTTTTGCAAAGCAATCTCTAATGTCTCAGGAACCTTAGATTTTTCTCTAATGAAGTAAACCAAACGATACTTGCTGTAGTCATCTTTGAATAGAACAAAGTACGTACTTGTATCCAGATTCGATTTTTCAAATGGTCCACACATATCAGTCATATTTCACCAGGATCTCTATTCTCGAGATATGGAAGCAGCGTTTTTACGAGAACGAAGGTTCTGTCTTTATCATCCATATTTATATTTCCATGACACTGACAAAGATTCAGCAATCATTCTCATAAGAACGCTGTTCCCCGGTTTCAAGAATAGACATTCAGGTTGATTTGCTCGTCCTCTTGATCTAAATTTTTGTTTATGTGCTTTTCCGTAAGTACAGCCTTCACACAACATTGAATCCAAATTCTCTGGAAAAGACTCATTTCATGTGTCGTTTATTCTGATGTCCTAGCCTTCCATGATACAGCTGTAACACGTTTCTAGTTTCTGTAACATTAGACTCATTGAAATTTCTTACACATAATTTGTTAGTAACTTACCTACAGCTAGAAATACTCCACAATATTATGTAAACAATTTTATCAAAAAAATTGGTATATCCGACACAGTTTTCAATTTCACTCCCATATCAATTAATGAAGTTAGAGACATAGTGAAACAATTAAAAAACAAAAAAAGCAAGGATTTTTATGGAATGAACTCTAAAATAATAAAATCACTTATTAATATTATTATCTATCCTCTTACGAAGCTGTTAAATTTGTGTATAAGAGATGCAGTCTTTCCATCAGTTCTAAAAATATCCAGGGTTGTGCCAATATATAAAAAAGGTGAAATGGAAGATTTGAGTAATTACCGTCCTATATCAATTGTCCCAGTTTTCTCCAAGATTTTCGAAAAGGCACTCAAAAATAGAATAACAAATTATTTTGAGAGTGTATGTGTTAAGAGTGTCAAAGTCACGAATTTTGCTCATTTTGAAAAACCATACAAATTCAAATAGGTATAGCGCCTCCTATGTAAGGAACACCAGCGCCCTCGGTATGGAACCGAGGTCGACAAAAAAGGTACGAAAAACACTCGATTCATACAGCCAAGCGACTGCGAAACACTCTCTCTCTTTTCGCCAAACACGAAACACGAACACACATTTTTTAATCCGTTTTGGCACACAAGAAAGTCGATGAATTCGCGAGCTCGCCGGTTACCGGTTCGAAATAAAAGCCGGTAGTGTTGTGCAACCGAAACAAGACCCGGGATCCCGGTATTAACAATTAACTTTGAACTATAAGAACCCCAGAACCACACGTAAGGCGCCTTTTATCATATTGTCTTTTGTATGGTTATTTTTTGCTACATATTCATTAGTTGCGCTTACAGTCCACGTAACTCCGAAGGTGATTCTAAAACATCAATCATTACGCCATCAGAGAGTCAGAATTTATTTAGTTCTAAGCAGTTTGGCTTCAGGAGTGGGAAGTCTACTACTACTAGTGCTATCAATTTGTTCATAGAAAGGGTTAATGAGGGGATTGAAAATGGGGAAAATAGTGGGGCTCTGTTCTGTGATCTAAGCTAAGCCTTCGACTGTGTCTCCTCTGATCTCCTTCTGATAAAATTGCTACAATACAGATTTGCACCTGTAAGTATAGGCTTATTAGAGTCGTATCTTACAGGAAGGTCGCAAGTAGTAAGCGTAGCGGATAAACGCTCATCCTCTATCAAACTAGAATATGGTGTTCCTCAAGGGTGCTGGGACCACTGCTCTTCCTGATCTACATAAATGATTTGGAGGGGTGTGATCCCAGTTCTGACCTGATATTGTTCGCTGATGATACGACTCTGATTAGAAAGGCCAGGGATTTTGAAACACTCAGACGGAGTCTGGAGGAGACACAGTTGAGGGTTACTGATTGGTTCTCAGCGAATAAATTGAGTATGAATGAATCAAAAAATAGCGCCCTAGTAATATCCACGAGGGAATTTGAATTGCTGCATAATGAGCCAGTTACGTTCCTGGGGGTGAGTATTGACGCAAAGTTGACATGGATTCCACATGTCAATAACATATGTGCCAAAGTTGCGTCAGGAGTCTATGCACTCAGAACAATGATGGAGAGTGTTTCCGAGCAAGCAGCAAGGACCATCTTTTTTGCTTGTGTCCAGTCAAAAATATCATATGGAATTCTGGTCTGGGGACATGCGGTAGAAGCGCAAAGAGTCTTTGCACTTCAGAGGAGGGCGATTCGAATATTGTGTCATAGAACTTATCGAGCGGAGTGTAGGAATGACTTTGTGAAATCAAAGGTATTAACAGTGCCCTCCTTATATGTCTATCATTCATCTATCATTGTCTGATTCATGTCAGGTGTAATGTCAATGATTACCAGACCAATGAGGACATACACCAACATCTCACCAGGAATAGGGACAACCTCTATACAAACTTCCATAGAATACATAAAATAAAAACGGGAATTTCCTTCTATGGCCCCAAATTCTATAATGTGTTACCAACCTCCATTAGAATGCTAAATTTGAATTGTTTCAAAAATAAAATTAAAAATTATTTAATTAAGAAAGCTTTTTTCAGTATAGAGGAATATACCACCAATAATTTTAATGATTTAGAGGATTGTTAGTTATTAATATTGTTTGTATAAGTTCCTAAAAAATTGTCACTACTATATATTTGACTTGTGTAAACTTTGTGAAGTAATGCACCAATAAATGATTATTATTATTATTGCTATTATTATAATGAATAATGATCCGTAACGATAGGATAAACTCGCCGCGAACATACCAAGCATCTGTAAGTGTTCTTCTACTTTTCTAACAACAATAGCTGAAACTGTGATTGCTCATCTTAAGTACCAATTGCTTGAACTAAATCACCATTCACAGCAGTTACAGAATGATCTCTAGTAAAATCTCTTTAAATCAACAAACCAATAAGTATCTTTGTTATTTTTGGCCATCAGTATAACGGAGATTTTTGCCAACAACGTCTGTTTCTGGCTTTCTTTTGTTGAATTTGTTTGCGGTTCTGGTGGTCTACCATCTACTTTCCATTTTTCACTTTGTTTCACTGGATATCCATCAAGTTTGTGGTAGTTATCTAAAAGAGGACCTTCTTCTGATAGTGTTTATTCTTGTTATTGTAATGTAATTTTTAAGCTGCCAACACTTCCTGATGGCTATCACGTTTTTGTGCTGTAGAGCTTTCTACATTCAAACATTCTCTGAAATATTTAATATTTGGATTAGCAAGTAGTTTAGTTAAAATGTCAGCTTGCTGCTTTTCAGTAGAAACATAACTTAAAATAATCCAGTCTTGGGCAACACATTCTCGCGCAAAATGGTGTCTAATATCAATGTGCTTAGTACGTTTAATTTCCATTGCTGATGCCATCTTGATGCAAGACTGATTGTCTTTATAAATGGAAATTGGAAAAATATTACATTCTAAAATTTCAGAGCACATTTGTCCTAAAAATAAACATTCACTTACACAAGAAGACAAAGCCAAATATTCAGACCTAGCACTTGACAATGCCACAACATTTTGTTGATTGTCTGAAACCGTCTTCTTTTCATCAAAAATCACATTTCTTCCAGTAATAATCTTCCGCTGATTTTCGTTCCACAGCTTATAATACCCATTATCAGTATATCCTACCATTAATAATTTCTGTGATCTGGATTCTAATGTTGACTTTCTGATTTCTTTTAGTATCAAATTGTATGTTGTATACACCTAAATAACTTTATTTTGTCCAAGTTAGGTTTTTCCTTATTCCATATTTCTGCAGGTGTCTTGTTATTTCCCAATGTTCAATGTTCTTGTCTCTGTTTTGTTAATTAAATACGTTTCAATTCTTACAGCTTCATCCCAAAAATATTTCTCCAATTTTGAATCAAAAATCAAACTTCGAGCTCTTTCCATGACTGCCCTGTTAAAACTTTCTGTTACTCCATTTTGTTCTGGATTATAAGCTTAAGCCTTTCTCTTGGCAAAAATCTTTGAAAGCATGTGATGCATATTCACCCCCATTGTCGCACCCTAATTTCTCTATTTTTAAATTAAATTAAGCTTCAACCATAGCGACATAATTTTTAAATTTTGATAAGGCTTACTTTTATTGCCCACCAAGAAAATAACACAGAAGTGTGAGAAATGATCAATAAAAGAGATAAAATATGACTTATTGTAAGATTCTATTCGCTTTTCTTTCCTAGGGAATATCTACAAATGGCAATCTGCTGGGCTGGGACTCTGTGACGGATAGAGATATTTATTCCTATCACTGTGGCACTTGCTGTCTTCTTCTCTCTTTTCGAAATCAGTAGAGAGGTGAAGTCAATGGAGATAGAGAAAATATCTTTTTTCGTTACATAGTTCCAGCTCTGGTTTCTTTTGACTCGATACAAACATCGAGCTGGGTATTTTGCTGAATGTCCCATTCTTCTATGCAAAAACATTTTATCTTCACTTGTCAAATTTACTGTAGGATTGTATTGATTTATTTTAAAATGTATATTACATAAATTTCCTTTCAATACCCCTTCAAGTATTGTAACTCCATTTGACGATTGTCACCTTTTTATTAAAAAACATTACTTCAAAGCCATTTTCTTCCAATTTTCTAAGAGATAATAGATTATAGAGTAAATTGTTACAGAAAAAAACTGAGAACGTCACTGAATTCTGCTTGAAAAAGTGCTTCCAAAAGGAAATGAATTATTTTCATAAACAAAAAAGTTATGGAGGCTTTACAGTATTGCTCAAAATCGAGAATCACCCTCTAGCGGCTAAACGGTTGAAGATATCAAAATGCGGTTTACACCAATCAAGATTTCATGAAATTTAAGCCTCAGAGTGGGGGGTCCATTTTTTTCTATCTCCAAAAATAACTGGTGTTTCCATAAGAAATTGTCCAATTTAGACCACTCTGTACTGTTATTTGTGATTGGTTGATTATGCAATTCTACCTGGCAAGAAAAAAAAAAGGATTCTTACATCAGAGTTAGCTCAGATTTGGACAAATCGAGGGACAAACTGTTTTCAGGTGATTAACACGAATGCGCAAAAAATCAGAAAAAAATGCCTTTATCTGTTGATCTTTGTCTAATTTCGAAGAATAAACGAAGAGAAATAGAATATTATTTAAAAAAATAGCCCTTGCGACAAAGAAGGGCGACCCTGTCATACCCAATGAAAAAAGAGCTTGGGCAACATTGCTCCGAAGTCTGTTAGGACTGTCAAACTAAGAAGTGTTCTGCTAAATGATAATTACCAGTGTATAATTACCATAATTACTCATAACTGGGAACTAAGAGATTTTTATTTTGCGAAACATTTGCTATTGGTCCCAAATATTCAAATTTGATAGGCCGCGAAAATATTGCGAATATTTCTAACTTATATGTGAAATTCGCAGTGCTTTTTGTTGCCATCTTTGTTTATTTTTTGTTCGCTTCTCTCTTGTAGAGGTAGAAGTAGTAAAAAAAAAAACACAGTAACAGTAACCGAGTAAGGTAATGAGGAAGGTTTGCGGTTTATTTTTTATGGAATTTTGACAGAGATAAAAATTCACATTTCGCAATTTGCAGTTATGAGCCCTTATAAAGTCCGTTTAAAAAAAAATAATAACTGACATTATTATTATTATATTGGCATTACATGTTAAACTGTCAATGTGGTGAATTTTTTTACATATAAAAACCGCAATATTTATGATTATTATTAACTTTCTTGAAAATTCCCTTTTGTCTTTAAAATTTCCCCGACATGGGGAAAATTCCCTGCAGCTGACAACTACAAACCTCTACGTAAGGTCACTGGTGACTGTCAAAGATTTTTTCTCGAAAAGAAACATCTAAAAATTGAAAAAAAAAAAAATGCCAAGAAAGTTTGCTGCAGAAAACACAAAAGCTGCAGCAGCACGCGAAAGAAAAAAGACAGCCGAAGAAATAGCAATCAAGCAACAAGAAAAAGAACAGGAGGATGCCAAATGGAAGGATCAAGACAAACAAACACTGAAAAAGCAACTAAAAAAGGAAGTAGACGAACGTAAGCGGCAAGAACAGCTTCAACGTAAAGCTGAAGCTAAAACTCTCTTGGAGAAAGAAATGGAACCCATAAAAACTGGAAATAAATCTACGCTGCCAATAAAAGTATCCAGAGCGCAAATTCAGTCCAAAAAGGAAGTAACACTCAAGAAAAAAGAAGTCAAAAGTACCAACGAAACTCATTTGGTTGAAAACCTTAATAGACTACAAAGTCAAAGCGAAGGAGCTAGAACTGTTGACAAGGCTATTGAAATCTTGAGTAGCCATGCCAAGCGCGATAAACATCCCGAGAAAAGAATGAAGGCAGCATATACTGCTTACGAAGAAAGAAGGTTGAAAGAGCTCAAATTGGAAAATCCATCTTCAAGATTATCCCAAATCAAGCAAATGATATTCAAAGAATGGCAAAAATCTTCAGAGAATCCTTTAAACAACATTTAATCCGATTTTGTTTTTTTAACAACGATTATGTAATATGTTTTTTTTCTCAAAAATAAATAATTATTATTATACCTCAGCATTGTCGAAATGAAAAACAAATAAGTATAATTATTTGATGTTTCTTTTTTTTTGTAATATTTTCCAGTAGGAATAGAGATTGATTCTAGATTTATAAGCCGGAAACCCAAATTGAATATTTTCTTGCAACATCAAGCAGTTCGATATTATTTCACAAGGAACCAACCAATGAATCATTAACATTTTTAATAAATCTTATTACATTTTACATTAGACCAACCTGTAAACAATCTCAATATAATGTTATATTCTTAGTATTAGATATATTACATATTTGTTTTTTTTTTTTTAGATTCGACAACTCGATCCGCCTAAACGAACACGACATTGGCGATGTAGATTGTCAACTTAAACTAGATTTCCGTACTCTGGTGCCGACAATGGGAAACCAAGAAACTGCCTTGCTGATCAATTTCATCGAAGTCGGTCAGAAGCGAGTGCTCCAACATCCGTTGTGCGAAACATTTTTGCTCTTAAAATGGCGCATAATCAGATATTTTTTCCTTTTCAGCTTCATTTACCAGAAAACTTTTGTTATGCTTTTTTCGTTTTACATTAAAGGAGTGTATTTGAAAGATTGTCCTTCGTTTAGAAGAGCTAATAATCAATCGAATTGCTTTGCTAGTGATATTTACATTACCATGGGCCATTGTTTGCTTATACTCAACATCCTGTTAATGTTTAAAGAATTATTTCAAATACTTCATAGCTGGAAAACTTATGTTCTCGAATGGGAAAACTATTTACAGTGGGCAATAGTTATAAGTGTATTTTCATGTGTACAACCAATGTATCAGACTAGTATCAGAGAATTTGTGTATACTTGGCAACATCATGTAGCTGCAGTTGGTGTTTTCTTAGCTTGGGTTGAACTTATGATGATTGTTGCCAGATTTCCAGCTTTTGGACTTTACGTTCAAATGTTTACGACTGTTTCGATTAATTTTGCAAAATTTATGTGCGCTTATTTTTACTTAATTATTGCTTTTACTTTATGTTTTGGAGTTATTTTTGCAAATTATCCTGCCTTTAAAGAACTTCAGTGGGTTTTTCTCAAAGTTATAATTATGATGTCGGGAGAGCTTGAGTATGAAGACGTATTTTTTTCTGATATTCATGAAATCAAATATCCTTACACAGCCCATTTGGCTTATTTAGTTTTTGTTATATTGGTGACAATTGTTTTATCTAATCTTATGGTAGGTTTGGCTGTAAACGATATACAAGCCCTTCAAAAAAGTGCAAACCTGGATAGGCTAGTCAGACAAGTAAGACTTATGGCCCATTTGGAAAGTATGCTATTTTCAAAATTACTCAAATGGGTACCACCTAATATAATGGCATTTTTACATAGTCAGGCTTTATTGTTGAAATCGCAAAGAGATTTTACTTTAGACGTAAGGCCCAATGACCCAAGAGAAAGTAAAATTCCGAAATATTTAATTGAAAATGCTTTTAAATTGGCAATAGCCAAAAAAGACAAGAAGTCTTTTAAAAAAAAATGTTACACACCAAAAAGCAGTTATAGTAAGGGCAGTTACTTGAAAAAAGAAGACAAGTCCATGAGGCAATTGGAAGAAGAACTAATTTTGGAATTGAATAAAATTATAAGACATAAATTTGAGAAGTTAAAGGTAGAGATTAATAATGTGCAATGATTAATGATGTGTGTCTTTAGAAATATGTATCTGTGATATTGTAATTTAGGTTTAGTTTTTATGTATAAATGTTTAATAAATAAAAGATTCTTACCAATAAATCGCAAGTAAATTTTTCTCCATTTTCCAATTCAATATTCGAAACATCACTATGATAATCCGGCAGGACATAATTCTTCACTTTGGCACCATAAAGTATCTTCAAGTTGTTGCATTTTTGTGCTTCATTTTTAGCCGCTTCTAAAACCAAATCATTCTCCACCATATAGGAAATTGTATCAGTATGTTCAGATTTGCCAAAAGTTATTGAAGTTTCAGATAAAGCGTCTGATACCTAAGCAGAAACATTAATTTAGGATTTATGTATTTTTCAATTGAAAAAATTACCTCTAATCTTTTAACAATGTGAAACCGATGTTGCTCAATAAAGGCCCAGGCTCCATTGTCTTCAAACAATTTATGCGTTCCTGGATTTAGGGAAACCACTCTGTTGCTGTACTTATCAGATTTTATCCAGGGCTTATTGACGCTTGCTTCTAGTAGCAGGATCTTTTTGTTGTTCAGTGTTTTATTTTTACCTATAAAAAAAATCAAAATGTGTACAAAGTGAAGAAATAATAACTATGCTTTGAACTTTAAACTTGTAAATGTCAAAACACCAGTTTTCGCACCAGTTACTATGCAATTATCTGATAATTTGCACTAGTGCAAATTATCGCGTAATTGCAATCTGATTGGTTCAAATCAACAATCAAAACATGTCAGTTCATTGTTGAAATACCAGTTTTGGCAGATGTATGAAATTCTCACAGCAAATACATTATCACAGATTGCGAACCACTGGCAAGATATTTTTTTTTAAAGAGTTTACTGAACCTACAAATAAGTCTACATCGATACTGTTCTGCAGGTGATTGAAGTATGATCAGGCTCGATAGATTGGCTCATTTCTGGCAAGATATGTGGGGCGATTTCCCAAATAGAATTTGCGGTGGGAACGTGTGTTGACTACTGGTAAAGAAAAATTAAGGCTGTTTAGAAGATCTGGAGAGTCCACCAGGTTGTTACATAATTTAAAAAGAAAGAGTTGACTTGCTAAAATTGTACTCTGTTGAAGTGAGAGGAAGTTGAACTTGTTGAATAGCAACTGGTGGTCAAATCCTCTTGGAGGGTAAACTCCATCCTTTTTGAAACTTAGATACTTTAGGAATCGCCGTTGAACATATTCGAGCCTGTCCACATGTACTTGATGGTAAGGAAACCACACCAGAGAAGCATACTGCAATTTAGACTTGACCAAAGAGTTGTACAACGTGATGAGACTGTCGATGTTCTTAAACTCTCTTGTTGATCTAATAATAAACCCCAGGGTTTTAATTTTCATCAGTGACCTTCCGCAAAGTCTGATAAGCTCCACAGAGTTAATATTTATTGATGATTTGAAATTGTTTAGACCATTGTTTTGTGATCTCAATGATTGGAATGGTTCCAGAAATAGTAAATTGGAAATTGCAAGTTCACACTGTGTTTGCTGTAAGTAAAAGAAATGCCAATCTTATTCATGCTAATACACAAACTTCAGGACACTGTAATGATAAAAAATAAAAGGGTTCTTTTTAAACTTAGATGATGAACTACAAAAATACAAAAGACAAACAAAAACAGAGCTATCCTCTGATTTCGCACTACATTACTTGAATAAATATTTCATAAAAACAGAAAGAAAATAGCAGAATTACATGAAACCTTCAAATAAATTATACATGTATAAAAATATATATAGCTATATTGTAAGTGGGGAGAGTACCATCATAAAACATAGAAAAAATACTTATAGTTAACAAAGGGTAGTGAAATTGACTTGATTACTTACATTTAAATTAGACTTTCCTTGTCATTGTTGTTCAACAGATTCACATAGGTATAGAGGTTTCTCGAAAACATAGTTGATAAAAAATTAAAAAAAAAAAACACAATTACGTAGCACAACAATAACAATTTAAAATTTAAAAAAGCAAAAACAACAAACTTTACACACCTCAAATGAAAGATAAAAAAAAAAAAAAAAAATTAACCATTCATCAAACAGAAATGTTATTCAAAAATTAATAACATAAATTATCTTTCTAAAATAAGCTTTTAGGACGCAATTGTGTGTGTATTAGAACAGCTACATACACGTACAGAGAAATTTCATAAAAATAACCTAAAGTACATAGAGAACATGTTGGTTAAGAATAATTACCCTGTATCGCTTATTAAGAAGATTACTAACAAAACAATTTCAGCAAGAGTAGTACCTAAACAAAATGAACCATTCACGTTCTGTAAGCTACCTTACATTAGTAACCTGTCCGAAAGAATACAAACCATATTCAAAGATCAGGTGACTAAGAGAGGAGAAAAAGTTAAGATTGCGATGAAAAGTAAGAATACAGTGAAGAACTGCTTTTATTCCAAGACTAAGTCCAGCACAGAAAAGCTAAATAAATCGAATGTAGTTTATAACATTCCTTGTTCCCAATGTAATAAATGCTACATAGGCCAAACTGGTAGATATTTAAAAACACGATTGAGAGAACATAAAAACGATCAGAAGAATTACCTCTTAAGATCGAATCCAACAGCTCTAGGCGAACATAAGGTAGAAACTGGACATGATTTTGAATATGACAATACAACAATTTTACAAACACAATCCAATTACAAAAAAAGGTTGATAGCGGAGATGATTGAAATCCAGAAAAATAAGAATTGTGTTAACAAAAGAACAGATATAGAACATCTTAGTAATGCATATTTTAATATATTAGCAACAATTAAATAACCCTCAAGATATTAGCGTTGGAATGTGTGGTATTCAGTTTTTTGTTTCCCATCCTATTAATGATGACGCTAAATAAAATCAGTACGTGTATGTAGCTGTTCTAATACACACACAATTGCGTCCTAAAAGCTTATTTTAGAAAGATAATTTATGTTATTAATTTTTGAATAACATTTCTGTTTGATGAATGGTTAATTTTTGTGTTTTTTTTATCTTTCATTTGAGGTGTGTAAAGTTTGTTGTTTTTGCTTTTTTAAATTTTAAATTGTTATTGTTGTGCTACGTAATTGTGTGTTTTTTTTTTTTAAATTTTTTTATCAACTATGTTTTCGAGAAACCTCTATACCTATGTGAATCTGTTGAACAACAATGACAAGGAAAGTCTAATTTAAATGTAAGTAATCAAGTCAATTTCACTACCCTTTGTTAACTATAAGTATTTTTTCTATGTTTTATGATGGTACTCTCCCCACTTACAATATAGCTATATATATTTTTATATATGTATAATTTATTTGAAGGTTTCATGTAATTCTGCTATTTTCTTTCTGTTTTTATGAAATATTTATTCAAGTAATGTAGTGCGAAATCGGAGGATAGCTCTGTTTTTGTTTGTCTTTTGTATTTTTGTAGTTCATCATCTAAATTTGTGAAGAACCCTTTTATTTTTTATCATTACAGTGTCCTGAAGATGCAAATAAATTTTGTGAAACGTCGACTTTTTTAAAAACCAGACTTCTGCGTTTTTTTTTTCCGATCCTACCCAAACAATTGAAAATTCTACATTGAAAACCTGCTCGGATCGACAAAACCACATTATTGTATTGATAATAATAGTATTTCAATGTAAAAAAATGTATAGAATGTTGTTGCGTTTGACATATTTTAACTTAATTTTTAATCTGTTTATCGCTGTTCATCAGGTAATTGTAACACCTTTTTAACATCCTTGGATGGGATGTTATCTCGCTTGGGTACAAACAAACAAACTATTTTAGCAGGAGACTTCAACATAGCACTTGACAGTGAAAATAACAACTTCCTATAAATGCGGAATGTACTGGAGAGTTTCAACATGAAACAAAAGATATTCGAAGCAACAAGAGGTGAAATTTGACAATAATTTTCTCGATCAAGATACAGGGGTTAGTTTTCTGATCACTGAGGTCAGCGGGTTTCATAGCAGAAACGAAGAGGCAGCCTTACACGGAAAACATAGCAATGTCTTGACCTTCAACATAAAGAGGTAAGTTTCAGTTTCACAATAGAATAAATGAGGCAGATTGGGATTCCGTGGACGGGACTAGTATGAATGTTGATGATAAATTCGCTGACTTCATGAATATGTATGAAATGGGTGGTTTTGTGTAATTTTCATTATTGACGTCACGAACTTTTATTTTCACGTAGGGGCGTAGCTAAGAAGAAATTTAAGGGGCCACAACACATGGGGGATTGTAAGCGTTTCGTAAAAACCAAACTACAAAAAATCTGCTCCAGATATCGAGATGAACTAATTAAATTTATATAAACGAAGGATTATACAACCAGCCTACAAAAGCGTTTTTTTGGTGACTATAGAATTTTTAATACCTATTTAGAAGTACCAGTCGTTCTAGTGACAAAACGTATGTCGCATCCTGAACGCACATACGTAATTACATGAAATTGACTGACGAATTAAAAATCGACGTTCGTTTTTGTTGGTAATTTTTTGTTTCATCTGATTCGTGATTGATAAATAAGGATGGGGTTATTCTGAATGGTTATTAAAAATACTTATAAATAGCTTTTTGCCTGTAGCAGAGCCTTAAAGAACAAAATTCCAGTGTATTGCGGTTTTTACAAAGCAACTGATTACACTTAATAGTACGATAAGTCGAGTATATCACTACGCAGTAGTTGAAAATCACTTGTATACTACCTCATTTCCTCATTATGTAATGAACATCGTCTGAGTCCATAGAATATATGTACCTTCACTTCACATTCGAGTGTCACGTTTCAGGCACCGGTACCCCAGAGATACCTTTTTGGAGCAAGTCATGAACTGAATGTATCTACATAGGCTATTAAATATGTTTTGTATCCTTTTGGATTTAGTTCAACCCCAACCCCAGTAGGAATAGGCAAAAATTTCAATGCTTAAATTCTGGAATTCTTACCTAGAGTACAGGCCAAAGTTGTACCAACCATACCACCTCCAGCGATGACGATATCAAAATGCGAGCCTGCCTCATCGGAAAAACAACGAATAAAGTTTAAATTTTTATATTTTAAACGATGTAGAGCGGAAGAGTTATTAATTTTAATCAACTTTGAGATTATCATTTTTGTTTGTTTGTTTTGAAAAAATCTGACATAACCTAATATTTCATCTAATGTAAACTGTCATTAATCAGTCTATCTTCTACATTTTTTGTCCATTGCATTAGAAAGAGAGAAAAATAGAAAGCTAACTTCACTTATGTTTTGTTGACATTTTCCTATTTGACATAACCTATTTTTAGATATTTATATTTAGAATGTAAATAATCCGTTTTATTGTTCTTTTTAATTAAATTAAAATTGATTAAGAGAGAAAATGAGCAGTACGAGAAATCCAGCCACACTTATGGCGATTCCCAAGGAGGAAACTTTCGATTTCTTATTTAAAATTGTCCTTATCGGGGACTGTGGTACCGGAAAAACTTGTGTTGTGCAAAGATTCAAAAATGGAACATTCATCGAAAGACACGGGAACACCATCGGGGTGGACTTTTCTATGAAAACTGTTACCGTCGATGGGAAAGAAGTCAAGGTAAATTCGATTCCTACAAATAATAATTCACTTCGGAATTGGTTATTTTTGTTTTTTTAGTTGCAAATTTGGGACACAGCGGGTCAGGAAAGGTTCAGGACAATCACTCAAAGCTACTATAGATCTGCAAATGGTGTTATCATAGTTTACGATATTACTAAAAGGTCTTCATTTCTTTCTGTTGCAAGGTAAGTAACTGAAAATGACTATGATAACATTATTAACATTACCATACTCCTTCCTTTCTCTTGAGTTCAAGTTCAAATTTTTTTCCAAATAATTACAATATTGTTTCTTGATAGTAATTATTATAATTTACACTTATAAATATCAAATCAAAATATGCTTTATTTTCTAAGAAATACCTACATCTTAATCGACATCCTCTTAAAAAGTAAGTACAGTTAGATACGAGGTTAGATATAAGTTCTTCAGAAGAAGCATGTAGGATGTATGTAGGTACATCTATACACTATACATTAAATTAAAATAGTCACACTCATTCCCGAGATCATTCCTTAAATATTCAAAAACTTCCAAAAATTTCAAAGACAAAGATGCATAAACACTTATTTCAACAAATTTGCACTATAAAGCACCTCCAACCTGTAGTATGGATTTACAATTAGGTAATAGGTCTTTTAGCTTCTTTATAAAACTTGTGACAGATTTAACTCTACACAGCTACAATGGCAGAATTTTTTCTATGTAGGTATTGCTGCTGCCAGGGTCAACACCCATAGCTCCACAAACACATACATATAACCGAAGTGCTTACCTTCTCACTCCATCGCAATCGTCTGCCAATTTTGCTTTCAACTGACCCATGTATTCTGCAAATTTAAGCTTGTTGTTCAATTAATTAGCCAATAATCTATTTTCTTCAAGGTTTGCCAGCAAATTGTTACCCTGTTACCCCAATTTCACATTTGAATTCTATCACATAAGTTTTGTTAATATTTGGTGGCCGAGCTGGTGACATAATCTGAAGTGTAAATTTACCCCAATTTCCAAATTTGTGATATTATTAATATATGTATATCAAAAATAACAGTAGGCCCGCGGCCCAATGCAGAACCTTGCGATACTTAAGGAAAAGTACCCAATTGTTGGCATGTTATGGGTATCCTTGCTTATGATCACCCACCACACATTTTCCAAATTTTCAAACCCAAGGCTTTGATATATTTTTTGGCAAGATTTCGAACACATAATAGGGTACTTGAATGGAAAATTGAATTGATTATTGTTTATTGCAAACTGTAGGAAATCGAAAAAAAATCGATACGTGTTTTTTTATTTTGTCCAAATATGATTATTCTGAAAGTTATTCAAAGATTAAGATTTGCACCTGAAAAAGGCCGATACGCCGATATACCGATATGCCATATCGGTATCGGTCGATCCCTGTTTAAAAGTATCTGAAAAAATGATAGATTATATTGTTTATAGTATTTTTTTGTTTGTTTTTAGCTTTCCCTATAATTTTTTCATATATGACTGACATAGCCCTCGAGGTGCCCCCCCCAGGTTATTTAGGTCACCTAATTTTTAATTAGAGGCACCTAAAAAGTACCAAATTATTATAAAGACCTCGAAGTTTTTTTTCCATTCTGACACACCAACAAATGAACGTAAAGCCAGCAGTCGCCCTAATTATGACAAAGAATCTGTAACTCAGGTGATAATTAATTCAATTTTTTCTTAGACTATTTAGGAGCACCTAAAAAGCACCTAATTCTGATACAAATAAAAAATTTGAAAAAATATTTTTTTCTACAAACGTCACTAAAAGTGTCATTTTTAACGGATGCTGTCAGTGTCTAAAATGCCATTTTATGACACTGGTGTTAAAAGTGATTACTTTTAGCACTAGTGCTAAAAGTAATCACTTCTAGCACTGATCAGAAAATATAAAAACATAGGAAATTTTATATCAAAGTAAAATATTTATTTAATTAAATTAAAATTAGCGAAACTGCAATTAGAATAAGAAACTCCATGGCCAATCTCATTGGTAGCAAATACTGAATTTATTTTGGTAAAACTTGTACCAGGAGAGTAAAGAGCAATGTTATTCTCCGAACTTTTGGGCAGAATTTGATCCGCAATGTTCTTTTGTATGAAAACTCGTACTGTTGCTTTGACTTGCTAGGCAATAATTCGAAAGTAGCTTTATTGGCAGCTTCTTCAATTTCCGCCGGGAGAAATTCATTGTCTTGATCACTTTCCATCGCCCAGAAAATAAACTACAATGAAACTGGATGAAACCACGCAAAAACCAAAAATTGTGCAGAAACCGTAAGCAAAAATTCGTGATTATTTGACGTTATTAATCAACAATGACAAACAGAGATGACAAATAAAAATAAACAAATTCGTTTTTTTTTCTTGCCAGCAACCTATTTCATAAATAAATTAGATGAAAGATTTGAAATTGAGGATTTCAAGGATGCGTTAATTTGGACTTTTAAACAGTGTTTGTAGAAAAAATAGTGTATGATATTCGTGCTAAAAGTGATTTTATTTTGTTCAAAGGGATGGAACACTCCGCCTTCGGCGTCGTGTCCCAAACTTCCCTTTTCACAAAATAAAATGTCACTTTTAGCACTTATATCATAAATAACTATTTACTATAGGGGACTGCTAGCTTTCATAAACCTATCAATCCCTTAGTTTTTTTTGATTTTCTTAAAAACTAGAGGAGCACCTAATTTTTAATTAGAGGCCCCAATTAGCACTTAAAAAGCACCTAATTATTATAAAGATCCCGAAGTTTTTTTCCATTCTGACACACCAACATGTAAACGTGAAGCCAGCGTCCCCTTATAATTAAATAACATCTGTAACTCAGTTAATAATTAATCAATTCTATTTTTTCTTGGACTATTTAAGAGCACCTAAAAAGCACATAATTCTGATACAAAGAAAAAATTTGAAAAAATATTTTTTACTATAGGGGACTGCTAGCTTTCATAAACCTAGCAATCCCTTAGTTATTTTTGATTTTATTAAAAACTAGAGGAGCACCTAATTTTTAATTAGAGGCCCTAATTAGCACCTAAAAAGCACCTAATTATTATATAGATTCCGAAGTTTTTTTCCATTCTGACACACCAACACGTAAACGTAAAGCCAGCAGTCCACTTACAATTAAAAAAAAATCTGTAACTTAGTTAATAATTAATCAATTCTATTTTTTCTTGGACTATTTAGGAGCACCTAAAAAGCACCTAATTCTGATACAAAGAAAAAATTTGAAAAAATATTTTTTACTATTGGGGACTGCTAGCTTTTATAAAGCTATCAGTCCCTTGGTTTTTTTTTGATTTTAGGAAAAAGGAGCACCTAATTTTTAATTAGAGGCCCTAATTAGCACCTAAAAAGCACCTAATTATTATATAGATCCCGAAGTTTTTTTGCCATTCTCACACACCAACAAGTAAACGTGAAGGCAGCAGTCCCCTTTTAATTAAATAAAAAAATCTGTAACTCAGTTAATAATTAATCAATTCTATTTTTTCTTCGACTATTTAGGAGCACCTGAAAAGCACCTAATTCTGATACAAAAAAAAAAATTGAAAAAATATTTTTTACTATAGGGGGACCACTAGCTTTCATAGACCTAGCAATTCCTTAGTTTTTTTTGATTTTCTTAAAAACTAGAGGAGCACCTAATTTTTAATTAGAGGCCCTATTAGCACCTAAAAAGCACCTAATTATTATATAGTTCCCGAAGTTTTTTTCCACCTTGGGACTGCTAGGTTTATAGAGGCCTAGGTTATTTTCATGGACTTGGAAATGGAGGGGGCCACGTCCGTCAGTCAAAAATGCTCGACGATTTTTTTTCTATTGTTTCTATAGGTATACCTATCTATAATAGATTTGCATAACATGAATGTTTTAGTTCACTTATTTAGAAGTTCCTTTTTTTGTTTGGCTTATAACTAAGAAGTGAATATTTTTTCTTTTCATAATACGAAAATTATTATACCTCAAACCTACAAGAAGATGGCGTTCTTAGAGCAAAAAAACAATATCATTTTTATTATTATTCAATTCACAAGATTAACATTACTGTCTTTCTATAATACCAAGTATAACACAATTTGTGTAACCAGGACTGCTGGCACAAATTTATTCTGTGTTAAAAATAATAACTATTTCTTGATTGCTCAAATAAAAATATGTATAATCAGGGGTATAATACAATGTTGGATTTAAAACCCTCAAAAAAAATAGTAAATAAGTAGCCACATTTGTATGTATACGAGGTATGCCGATATGTTCCGCACAGGCCACTCAAAAATCCCATAAGGAAATATATGTACCGTACCGTCGGGCAGGTATGATTGACATGATATGGTACACTGACACAAAACATCCCCCCTTAGAAATGTAAGTCTTATGAGAGACGTCAGTCTAGTCGTTTCAGCTTTCCCCTCCAATCACTAGAGGCGCTTCAATCAACCTATTAAAGTTTTCTTTTTCCTGCCGGACCGTGCGCCAAGATTTGAAGTTTATTTTGTCATTTCCAGTCGTCAAAATTTAAATTTTGAACTTCTCCCAACATTTAGAATTATTAATTACCTATCAATTATCAATAATTATTATCTCAAAATGTCTTCTCCCAGTTTGTTAATTGAAAAGCATCAGAAATGCTGTGTTCCGGGGTGCGGCGACAAATACAGCAGCTATTTCCGGTTTCCAAAAGATGCCGAAAAAATGAAACAATGGCTAGAAAAAGTTCGCAATCCTTTACTAAATAGCCTCAGTGTCGAGAAGGCTTATAATAATTATAGAGTGTGAACAAGACATTTTCCTCGAGAATTTATTGTTAGCGATTCAAAAGCCAGACGAGGACTCACATGGAATGCTGCGCTTTTGCTGTATCTCCCTGAAGGTAAGTTAATACTAGATATATGTGAGAAAGACGTACCTACTTACATTTTCACTTACTCCTCCCCATAGTTCTGATTAACGACAACGTGTTAGAATTCGGGTTTAAAGGAGCATAGGTCAGAAACATTAAAATTAATTTTAATTTTAGCCCCAATTATCAAAAACAGTGAGGAGTCGTTAATTGATAAACCACAATCACCAAAATGGCAAAAAGTGGAGATCGACACAGTTGAAACTCGTCGAAGAGTCCTAAGACGCCTTCAGAAATTAGTTTCGCAACTATGATTGACATAGGTAGGTAAACATAATAACTCTGTTCCAACACGTCAAAAAATCGTCCCATGAACTGTTTCGAAACCACTCAGTATAACAATTTTAGTTTCTGCGCAGAATCGTGACGGTACATTGTACGGTTTTCTGCTGTGTTGGAACAAAGCTAATATTATTAATTTCTTTTTTTTTATCCTTTATCAGGAAACACAATAATTAAAATATTCCTGGTTACATACAGGTACACCATATTCTACAATGCATGTATCCAAACTTTTTTGGTAGAATCATTGGTAACGAAATTTCTGTTTTAGATCAACTAGGCCCTTCATGTCGTCAATTTTTATCTACTGAAACTTCTGCAATTCGGGCAGACATTGCTACACCAAGTGGAACCATCACATCTGCAAACATGAAAAAGTCACCAACCAACTTTGTCTCTTAAAACTTTTATTGGTAGGTACCTAAGTGTTATTGCTTAATGAATAACCACCCAGTTGGGAGTAGGTGAATTTTAAAACATCCTAACTCAAGTAGGACTACTACTATAAAAGACTACTAATTACTAAAACTTGCAGTCGAATGCTAGAAAAATTAGAAGCTAAATGTGCGAAAAGCTCGTCTCCAATCTTGATCTATTTTTTTTTTGCAGGTCATGAGAGACGATGCCAAATTTTAAAGAACATTAACGTCACTAGGCAAAAAATTCCTATCCCTAAGGGAAAAATATCTTTATTCCAAAGTTATAGAATCCAGCAATAAGTTAAGAAGAATCAGTAGAAGGTTGTCGTCATTTAAATCCGAAGTTTCTGCTGCTGAATAACTTGCATCATAAACCAAATTTCAAAGGCTCGTAGACCACGTCAATCCATTGATATACAGCTTTATTTTAAGCCAAGTCCGTACTCAAAACCAAAAGCCTAAAGCTAGACGATTTACATTGGACGAGAAGTTGTTGCCGTTGTCTTTGCTTAAAGCTAGTGGTAAAGGCTATAGACTATTATCAAAAATATTTATTCTATCATCCAGGCGAAATCATTTTCTTGAATGAGCTTTATATTATGTATAACTACATAAACTTTCTACCTAACATATGCGGAAAGTGTATTTTCTGGACTTAAAGGCTTGTCCGAACTCTGCTTTTTGTAGTCATTCGTGCAACTTCCATCACGTGCAGAAACACTTTCCTCACTTGTTAGGTTAACAACGATTTTGGATTGTGAGAAAAGGACCTCTTTTGTCATTTTATTTACGATTTAAGTTTTTCATCAAGCTATTGTTAAATGTACGTCATTACTTCTTGTAACTGTCCTTATTATCTTTAACTTAACTAGCATTACCTACCTATGTATGTATACTTACATGAAAAAAAACTGTTTCGCAATAATTGTAATTAATTCCATATTCTTTAATATTTTCTGTTTCAAACTTTAATAAATATCTAAATTTGTCATCTTAATTCTTAGTCAATTTTACCTTGAAGGCGCTTCAACGCTACCGATTTTATGAGTTTCTTCTTTTTGGCACAATTATTTTATGCCAAAAAATGGTAGAAACTTTAAAGTGGTGGTGTTGAATCGCTAGAATCAAACAATGGTGCAAACGATCCACCGGAACGAATAAGATACCGAACGAACCCTAATTGCGTTTTGCATTCGCCAATAAATCCAGAATTACAAAAGCTTACCCCCCCAGTCACTAGAGGCGCTGAAAACTTATAGACAGGTTCTCAACACGGCACTTACCTTTCTAAGGGGGGATGTTTTGTGTACACTGAAGTGTGTGTCAAGCATATATGTATAGGGTATAGCAATCGGGAATATCTCTTACGAACCTACCTTGCGTTGCACATCGTTGGATAACTCGTTGATTTCCTTTCACAGTCTTATAGACTCACTTTTGACATCCCCCTAATAATTTTTCTAAAATTTGAAACTACCTTGAACTAGGTTTTTTATTCCTCTTCAGAGGCGTGATAATTTCATTTCAGCTACAATATAGAACATGATGACTTGACTTCATCTGGAAAACACAAGGACAATTTTGCCTGGCAAGGTTGAAGAGCATTCAGTTATTCTATAAAAACCCCATTAGGCTGATTTCACTTGAAACTACGTTGTGCAGCTGACACCCAACAGCAAATCATAATTCGACCACTTCTCGCCAGTATTCGGTATTGCCCCACTGCTACACTTACCTTTAATAGTATAATCGTGTATAGTATTTTTAATTTGAATTGAAACACTAGAAAAACGTCTAAGCCGTTTTCTCGCGTCCTTTTTTTTTCAAATTGGTTCAAAACCAGTTTCAAACAGTCAGTGGAAACACCATGGCCTGTTTCAAACCAATGTCAAAAAGTAAACGCGAGAAAACGGCTTAGATGTTTTAAAAGTGTTTCAATTCAAATTAAAGATTCTATAACAAATGAGATCCTAACCTATTATGGCGTACGGCTTCCCCGGGGGACACCAATTATTAAAAAGAAATAATCAAACCATGATTTATTGCCCTGGATATCAGTGAAACGCAACTTCAAAATTATTATTGTTAATAGGAATTTATTGAAAACACCTACAGCCAAATGCTGAAAGTCTTATACAAACATGCTCAACTAGAAGTAGCTTACCAAAATTCCGGTTATTTAAGAGATAAAGTAATAATAAATAATGTATTAGTGTTGATGTTGTTGATGTATCTTATCGTATAGTGAATATATTATCCAATCCATAAATTATCAACCCTGCCTTTGCTTTGGGAATTTTAGTTTTTATATTTTCCTAGCTACTTTCACTAGAAATCTGGAAATAAGTTCAAACAATTGCATCTGTTTACTATTACTTGCCACCATTTTTAAATATTTCGGGGTAGTTAAAGTCTCCACAAACAAGCACGTCAGAGTTTTCTTCAAATATTTTTTGGATATTAATGTGAATTTTTTTCTATGTTTGCTCGGCCTGTTCTGTAGATTCATGCCAATAATTACTTTTTGTCAGTGATTTTTATTTTCAAAAAAATTGCATTTATTGTATGTACCTTGGATTTAGTAAGTTGCGGCGACCCTGTTCATGCCTGTCTTGTCTATATAAATTGTAACCCCACATGTTTATGATAGCATCTGGAATATTCTGGTTAAGCCACGTTTCTGTGACTAAGGAGGGTTAGTTTGAATCTGCCTGCCTATCTTGATAAATAATTCACCTTTTTTTTTCAGTTTTTCAAAGTAGTTTTTTTTACTCCTTATTATACCATTTATCTAACAGCAAATTAAGATTCATACATTTTAGGTGGGTAGAAGAGGTACGTCGATACTCAGGAAACTCAGTTTTACTGGCACTTGTCGGTAACAAGGCAGATTTAGAGAGTTGCAGAGAGGTGGAGTTCGAGGAGGCTGAAGCTCTTAGTCAATACATGCCCGAAGTATTATTTGTGCTCGAAGCCAGTGCCAAAGATAATTCGAATGTTGAAGAAGCGTTTATGTGTTTGGCCACAGAGTTAAAGGTATGAACAGACAGCATTTTCTGTTAAATTTATACCAGTAGAACCAATGACGATTTTATCAATTTTTTAGAGGCGTCAAGATAATGGTATGCTAGGACAAGACGACGAAGATACTGTTCGATTAGGAGAGAGCCGTTCAGTTGCAAAATGTAGCAGTTGCACGAAAAGTATTTTTTAAGAAAAATATTATGTATGGTTTCATACATATCATTGTGTCAAAAGTGCCTTATAAAAGTAACCCGGTTTTAGGTAAGCTTTAAACTTATTTATTATTTATCTTTCAACCTAAGTGATCTTGAAATTAACAAATTATATTAGGTAATAATATATTATTTTTAATTTGTTTAGTCCGGTACAAAATATTTATTTTATTTGTGTAGGTATATATTAACATTAATCGATTAGCTGCTCCATGAAAGTTTCAGTTTAAGTGAAAATTGGGTATCTATGGAATTGTTAAGTAAGTTTTCAGAAGTATTATTTTGATTCACTTTTAATTTTTCTCAAAATTTTCAAATAGGTACCTCCTATGAGCAAGGTATTTTGTTTATTGCCATTATTTCTCACATAATTTCTAGGAGCAGCACTTTCTCTTCATACATATTTAACATTGATACTCATCTATAAGCAATATTTTATTTTTTTTATAGGTTTATTGTGATTTTTTCGAATCTTTTTAGCATTGTAGGTTTTTGACTGTATGTATGTACGTCTAAAATTACTCATTTACTTTTTACAAATTATGTTTGTTGAATTACCTAGTGATATTTTTGTATTTTAATTGTTTTTTTGTATGTAACCAAAGGTTTTAGGAATAGTTCTGTTATAATTAAGTATAGTTATTTTTATATACTTGTGCGAAAAGATACACTTATTGACTTGTATGTAAGTACCACAAGATTGTGAAAATTAAAATTATTGTGGTCAAATACATTTTTGTATTTAATTGCGACTATTAGTTGAGTGTTAATTTGTATTCAAAACTTGAATAGCTATTTAAATTCTAGGCATATATGCATTAAAGAATGGACTTCCATTTGATACTAGAGTTGAAAGCATATTTCCGCAATCAATGTTTTACTAAACTTTGGAATAAGGGTCACTTCATAAATAAAAATATAATTTGTAATAGATACTTTTTAACACTAGAATATAATACCTAGTTAAATTTAAATGTTATTACACAAGCAAAGTGATTACTTTTCGCACGATTATGGAAAAAATATTTAAAGGATTTCTGTCCCTTGTATTGAATCTCTCCTTTCTATTACTGCCTTTATTAGTCCAGGAGTCAATATACATAAATTGTTTCTACCTGACACTATTTATTGTGAAGCTGAAAGTTTGCAAAAAAGTAATTACTAGTCTGATTTTTAGCTGTACAATAATTAATTCCAGGTCAAAAACCAAAAGATCTGGGCTATTTTGCTCACCAAAAAAATGTTGCAATTTTGTTTTGGCAGGCCTAAAAATTTGAAATTTGATGCTTCATAAAAATAAGAAAATCCTATAACTTGCCATTAGATTTATACATTTGGAATTGGATAGCTCTATGGCAGTCAGGCCTTGGACATTTTTGTCTGGAAAGGTCTTATTAAATTGTTCAAAATAGTTTGATAGTTTCCTATGATTTTTCAAATATTGTCAACAAAGTTGATAATTTTAGATCTGACCAATCTTTTTCGTATACCTTCTATAAATTATCTCGACTATACAACTGTCGTAGATCTATCCAGGATCTTTCAGTTTAGTTTTTGTAAGAAGACCAGAAACTTGCATGGTAATTTTTAATGAAAATAAATCCAAAACTACATTCATTTATTGCTTCAAATTGACTACATCCGTCCACAAATATTAATTTCTGATAAATTCTAAATAAATAAATATGTTTTAATTGATATACACAAACCTAAGCAGAAGATAATATAAAAATTGCTTTAAAAACATCCTCTATTAATATCATTATTAAGTATGACACATTGAGAAAATAAATACATAATTAGATAATGTTCTATTTACTGCACTCTTATAATTACCATGTATAAAGTTCACAGTGTCTCTTGAGTATTTTGAAAACTCATTACTGGCTAGACTAATGAGATAAAATAAATAAATAAAACCCTATATTACAACAATGTCTGTTTATGTAACAATGCCAAAATATAATAATTAATAAAATACTATTTACAATAATTATTATTGAGCAATTTTTTTTTTTTAAATAATTCACTATGACATGTGCAAAGCGATTCATTTGACAATAACTATTGAGGAATTTGGGGTCTGTTCCAACCTCATATTATGAACAAATTGCTCACATTATGTCCTAGTTTTTTGGAGAGGTTGTAACAAACTTTTTGAAATTATTTTACCTAAATAGAACAATTTTTGGATGAAAGATTCGCTTTGCACAATTTCTGTTTCCCAATACTTCCCCGGAGTTTTCTACATCGCCCTTTAGTTAAAATTCATTTGCACTCCTTAACTAAATAGCGATTTTTTCAGAAGTATTAATGTTTCTTTTATTGAATGACTTATCGCTGACTTAGTTTAAATCACATCAGGTTTTTTTGGTATCACTTGCCTATGACTTTTGACAATTTTACATATTTCCTACGGTGGGATCATAAGTAACTTTTGAAGAGTTTTCATCATGGATTTCGTTTTCTTCTATGTCAGGACTAAAAAATACAGAGTTGATGCAATATGCCACATATTAAAAATCCAAACTGTAGGTAGGTACTTACCTATAATGATTATGTTTTGTCATAAATATTGACTTAGGACAATCTTTCATATATGGCCAACATTCAGCAGGACCTCCTTCAACTCCTGCTCCAGCATTTTCTGCTTCAACATACTCTTTCATTAAGTGAGCAAAGGGAGACTTGCTAGCACTAAAAAATGGCTACTAGGTTAATATTTGTAGAAATCTTATAAAAAAAAATTCTGACCTGAAAAACAACTTAAGCATCTCGCCCAACAATCCAAAGCCCTTCATCGGATGCGCGTGCACTTCACATATAGCCCTCAACAAGCAAGCCCTTCCGTCCATGCCAAAATTTTCCAATAATTCCTCTACAGCAAGATAGAGTAGAGCTCTTTCGCCTCCTTGTAGATGGCCTGTTTTGCTAGGAGCAGGGATGTCGGCTATTGAACGCTTGCCTCTTCTTTTGTCCAGTATGCTTCCTATGTAATCTGCTAAGAAGCCTCCGGCAGCTCGGCCCATTGATCTCGCTAGTAATGGAGGCAGGACTCCGTAAGGGTTTTCGTTGTCGGTCAGACCCAATTTGTCAAAATCGACTGAAACAGAAAAAAGGAATTATTTTTTTTACCAAGCCTAAGTAGATCTAAACCACACTAGATAAGTAGGAGTTATCAACTAGTAGATTACAAACTTAGGTATTCAATGTTTACACAAAAAACCCCAACAACATATTGTAAGCAATTTTGCTTTTCATTTTCAGGCTTTTCTTTTAAATGGAACTCAATAATACTCACTTGTGAAAGGTAAACTAATAGTTAAATTCGAAAAAAATCCATCTGGAGGATGTCTGACTAAAGGCATCGACAAAGACGGTGCTATGACTAAAGAAGTACCAGGCGGTAACGCTAGTCTTCCATCTTCTGTTATCCTAAAAGTTAACAATATTGATAAACAAACAAAAATTAAACTTTAGATGATTCTCACCAAAGTATCCTCTTTTGCCTTGATTTCGGTTGCTGACTCTGAGACGTTGCCTCAGTTTTAGGTAGAGCTAAAAATCCCAAGAGTATCACCATGACAAAAGAAGTGGAAGGCGGCCTCGGTGGATGGATTGAGGTTGAAGTTAACATTCTGAAATAAACGATCAATAATTGATATTCAAATCACACAGAAGTACGCGGTTTCACGCACGATTTGTTTCAATAAAGCAACAGAATAATTATTTTGATTTTAGCGTTTGATGACTTAATTTGCATAAATGCATTCATTGAGGAAACGTTCTTGTTGGTCACGCTTGATACAACAAAGTTCTTCATTATCGTTAAAGTGGCGTCATAAATAGGAATGGAGGTAACTTTTGTTTTCATGCAGTTGAAATGAGTAAGTATATAATAATAATATACATCTTTACTCAACGAATATTAATTAATTTTTGGAGAATGGAAATATTTGTAGAATAACATTTAAGTGAGTAGTGAGTAAGTCAACGCGAGTCAACGGGATACCCTATGATAATTATTCTAACAAATTTATAACCATTGATATTATTTAATATTCGTGTCATCATGTTTCTATGCAAATCGCGATTCATAAAACCTACCTACTTTTATAACTGGCTTAACTTCATTAATATTTGGCGCGTGCTAAAATATTAATTAAAAAAAACTGGAACTATTAACATATTATTATATATCTTAATCATTTATTGCATATTAAATCTTGTTAACACCGTGTATCTAGATCAGATTGGATGTAGGTGCCATATATGGATGTCGAGAATTAATTATGTATTCAAAATGAGAAATAAAATCAATTTTATCATTTGACAGTAGGTATGACTAACTGAAAATGACATTTTTTAAATCTAGTTTAGGAAAATATAACTGGCTCTCGGATATAAACCTTTTCAGAAAAAAGAAAACTGAAGCAAAAAATTTTAAAACTGAATTTGAGAAAGTTTGAAAAATTTACTTTGGACTTTAGAATAATTTTGACGTTACTATCAGAAAATTGAGGTCAAACTTAGTGAACTCTTGAATAAAACCTCCAGAATTAATCCCAAAAAAAATATATAAGATATCATTCAAGAAATTAAATTTGGATTATCAATATTACATACCGAGGTTGAAAGTGTTTCATTACTGCTAGTTAGACCTCGGCTGCGCCTCGGTCTAACCAATCTCTCGAGACAGTAATGAAACTATTCACCGAGTTATGTATACTATTTTATTTACAATCAATCGAATTTTGTAATTTTTACTTGAATGAAAACTAAAAAATACTTTCGGCCCATGAGAGGAAAGTAAACTTCCAACCCGAAGGTGAAAAGTAAAAGTCAAAAAGTGACATTTTCAAACTTTTTGAAAGTCAGAAAAGTCAACATTACATGGTATGATGGAAAATAAAATTTATTATTGAAAGTTCATTGTTCTTTTCGTATTTCAGCATTGGTTTCCTGATTGCGTAATTAAGAAAGATGATCAATAATGAATTCCTTTAAGGCGTTTAGTGTTCTTTTCTTATCGTTCAGCCTTCAAACTATTTAATTTTGTGGAATGAACTTTATTTTCAACTTTTGAATCTTATTATTTTAATTAAATATAAACCCTCTTAAGCCATCCAATGGATTAACTATGGAAATATGTTGCTAAATTTATTTCGCAGTTTTCAGAAAAAAAAAAAAACTAGCATTCCAATCAAAATTAATTTGTTGTCATATGAAACACTTGAAAAGAGGTTTAATGTATCGCGTTTCTTGAACCAGTGAACCTGAACCAAACCCATATTCGCGACTGGTTATGGAAATTGATGCAATAGATGGCAGTTTTGGTAGTAATTCTGATAATTTTAAACGGTAACGTAGTTATTTTTGTCACTCAATTACACCAGAGCTTTTTTTGTCGAAGTAGTAAAATTGACATTTCAATGAGAATTTTGTTGCCTAAAGGCACCGTACTCTTAAAAAAGCAAACGCAAACAAAGGATATACAGGGTGTCCGGATTATGGGGTATAAAAGGAAAGGACTGCAGCGTTCATCCAGTAAAGTCACAAAAAAAATGAAAAAGAACAGTGGCAAAGAGCAGTGAGCCTGGTCGTATTCTAAAAAAGGCAATTATCTGCGAGGATAGTGAAATAATTAACAAGATAACTACTGGACTAGTGTGAGCTAATCAGTGCGACTACTAGCAAGATAATTGGTGTATTAATTGGACCTAATTATTGGGAACAATCAATGAACTTTTATTGAACTGAAATAGTGACTTTATTACAGGATCTGACATCGAAAAACAAGTTCACGAGCGGATTTTCTGGAATATTCTACAAACTCCTACAGAATTCCATTTGGAAACTGTAAGTTATACTAGAGTGACTTTATTACTGGGTTCAACATCGAGAAACCAGCTCAGTAGCAGATTTCGTGGAAAATTCTACAAACTTCTATAGAATTCTATTTGAATACCGTCAGTGATACAGAAATAGTTACTTCAAACAAGTCCATAGAGTATCTAATTTCCTAGAACACTCCATCGTGTTTTAGTTGGAAATTTGACTTCACCACAGAACTTTAGATTTAAAATCAGGTTTCAAGTGTGTATTTACTCAATCGTAAATACACGACAGCAAATAGCCGAAATGGAGCAAGTTAGCCGGATGTTGGCGGATGAAAGACAAGAAGAAGAAACCCGAAAACAGGCAGATAAACAAGGAGAAGAAGACCGAAAGCAAAAACAACACCGGCTTGCAGCACTTTTACAACAACAAGAAGCTTGAATATGTAAACGCAGAGGTCTTTAGTGAAAGTCTAGACCGATTTATAAGCACTTTATTAAATAGTTAGGACAATAGTTAGGATCTATAAAAGCTCAAAAAGGGGATCAGACACACATGCTGTATGATTCCTATAAAAGTACACGCTAGTGACACTTGACAGTCGTGTCATTTTTGAGTCAGTTGTAGCTGGGTTCGGTGATTGTATCTGCAAGCAAAAAAAGCAAATTTGACGGACATCACGTGATCACTTATCTTTTTCCACGTGTCAAATCACGTGACATCTGTCAAATTTTGCTCGCAAATGCAATTACCGTACGCAGCCTGTTTTGTTTCAAAAAATAACCTGAAGTTGACAAACAACGGAAACATTGGGCGTGTCTCGTGTCTGGACCAACGTCATCTAACATAAAAATTGCTCTACCAACACACCCCCTCGATTCTTATAAACTAGAAAACAAAATTTAGAACTAAGTACAGGCAAGCTAACTAGTTAAAGAAATAAGATTACATTACTTGATACCACAGAAGACTCGCCTACAAAGTTACATAGCTACTTAACATAATTTAATTAATCAAATATTAATTAGGAAATATTTACGTCACTACGAAAAAACCTGAACTTCGGTGCAGCTAAAGATTTAGTGAAAATATGGTTACTTTTTCCGATGTTGGTAGGTACAGGGTAATTTTTTATATTTTCCCACCCCCCTTAACTTTTTTATGCCATAGTGTATAAAAAAAAAATAGGAAAGTTGTAGTGCTTAAAAAATAGTTCCCAAAAAATACAGCTTTGTTCATACAGGGTGTTGCAAAAAGTTTAAAAAACCAAAAAATATATTTTTTTTTAAATGGGGGACATCCTGTATATTATGACATTTCTGGATTCTATAGAAAATTCTAGACATATTGCATGTATAATGTCATATACCTATCTTCAATTGTTTCGGAAATAATGACAGTAGAAAATTGACTTTTTTGCATCTTTGACAGACTGTAAAACCTAAACGGTTAATTTTACAGCAAAACCGATCATGCATGCTTTTCCTATTTTTTTTATAAAATATCATTTGACACCAACTTTGAATTTAATCCATGATTGATATTTCCGATTAAATTAAATCTCCAGTTAAATTCAAAGTTGGTGTTAAGTCAAATGCTAGCTTATGAAAAGCTGTAGACAAGAATGTAAAATCGGTTTTGCTGTAAAATTAACAGTTCAGGTTTTACAGCCTATCAAAGTTGCAAAAAAGTCCATTTTCTACTGTCATTATTTCCGAAACAGTTCAAGTTAGGTATATGACATTATACATGAAATCTGTCTAGAATTTTCCGCAGAATCCAGAAACGTCATATTGACCCCCATTTAAAAAAATATATTCTTTTTTTGTTTTTGAACTTTTTGCAACACCCTGTATGAACAAAACTATGTTTTCTGAGAACTATTTTTCAAGTACTACACCTTTCCTATTTACATTTTTTTTATACACGGTGGCACAAAAAATTTAAGACGGGTGTGAAAATATAAAAAATGACCCTGTAAATACATATGTAATGCAACTTAATTTTATTCTCTTGAACACACTCTCTGACATAATGATGTCTTATATCTACACTGTGGGCCAAATTTAATTGGAGCCCAATTTGGCTCTGAATAACTTTTTTTTTATTTGGCAGATTTTTGTGAAATTTTGTGTGAATATTAGGGGGGCCTTTCCTTATTTGTAGAAAAAATAGCTCCCCCTGGTAGAAGGAGAGCCAAGTGAAAAGCAGTATTTTGATTCGTTGCCTTTGGGGCTGTTGCAAAATTAAATTTTTCACTCTAAAACTACATAAATTATTTGATAATATTAAGAAATTATCGGAAAAGAGACTATGAAAAAATGTTTCTAAAAACTTCAGGTTTTATATTGCAAAAGTATTTGTCATTTTGATGCAAGACTGGCCGTGTTCGTTTTTGTCATCTTTTTCGTCGATTTGCTTCGAAATTTTGACAGGCACGTGACGGGATCAGACAGTTTCAGTTTACAAATCACGTGCCTGTCAAAATTTCGGAGCAAATCCATGAAAAAGATGACAAAAACGAACACAACTACTGATTGTCTTCAAACACATCAACAGAAAATAGTTATTTTCCTGACAAGTGCGCAAAGTGATACTTTCCCGCACGAAAAATCAGTTAGACGACGACGCGAAGCGGAGTTCGGATAAGCTTTGAGTGCGGGAAAGACACTTTGCGCAAGTGTTAGGAACAATATTTTTTCTACGAGTATCTTAAAAAAGTAGACTTTGAATTGTTAAAATAATAGAAAAATCAATCAAATCAAAATCTTCAAAAATCGTTTGAAATCTATTGGAATTCCTCAAAATGTCTTTCAAATTAAATTCCCAAAAATCTTTTAACATCTTCTGGAATTTCTAGAATACCAGCTAGAATATTTTCATGAGAGTCTCTTAAATATCAAAAATTCTACAAATTCCTACCAGTACAGGCTGGTTCAATTTGGACACCTGTGATAGGAAACATCATGTTAGCTAATTTCAACTAAAACCCTTCATTTTGAATATTAGTTTATTCAGAAACCATCAAAACATTGAAAAATCAAGTATAACTATGATAATCATGCATAACAAAAATGAGTGCGCAAAGAGTTTCCGTGCGCAAAGAGTTTCCGTGCGCAAAGTTCAACTTTGCGCACGCAAATGAGTGCAAAGTGATTACTTTGCGCACGCAAGTAGAGTTTTCCCTCACGGTACGGTAAAACTTTTACCGCACGTATATCAGTGCGGAAAAAGTTTTTCCGTACAGCTGTCAAAAAAAAAACAAAAATTCTACATTTTTACGCCTGTAGGAAATAGCTATTTACCTAACAAATGCGGAAAATGAATTTTGAAAAATATTTTCCGCAAGTGTTAGGTACAATATTTTTCCTACAGCCGTGCGGAAAAATCGATTTTCCGCACTGATATGCGCGCGGAAAATTAATTTTACCGCACCGTGGAAAATGACATTAAATAACCTAAATTGTAAACAAGCACCAACCTTCCTATTGGTTGAAACGACCTACCTGGACCAGTACGCATGCACGGAGGACATTTGATAGGTTGTAATGAAAATTACCAGTTACTGTCATTACTGCCGCTTGGATTTGGTTCAACCATAGTATCTCATGACTGGTTTATACTTCCAAAATTAAGAATGAAACTAAACTTTAGCAATGCAGTTTATACCTAAAATTAAGAATTAAGGATTTTCTGAAATTAGCTAGCTTTTCACGTAATCACAAATGACAGAAAGGAAGATTTAAATAAACAAAAACCAGCTACACTGACAAACATATTGACATTTAGCAGATCCTATGGATCGTGGCTTCTGAATTTGACGAACTAGAACTATCTCCCTTATTCTTAATTCTTATATTTAGTTTAATTCTTAATTCAGAAGTATAAACCAGGCATCAGAAAGCAGTTGTCCTTCAAAAATATATTCCTATAAAGCAATATACTCTGCCTCTGAGCTACTGAGTGAAACAGTTGCCTGCTTTTTTGACTTCTAGAATACAAAATTATCAAATATTTTTATTCCATATACCCTGAAATGCCTTTTTCTTCAAACGTCAAAAAACTTCACTTTGGTAACACCTATCAAGATGTTAGAAATTTAATTCTTATGCAGTGCTAGGCAAATCCAGTGGGTTGACACCTGTCGAAGTAGTAAAAATTTAATTTCTATGCTGCTTGGCAACCCCAGCGGCAGTAAAAGTACTTTTGGTGCCGCTGGAGCGGTAGCAAAAGTACTTTTAGTGCCGCTCGTACTTTTATTGCCGTTCAACCATTCAGTTACCCCTGAGCTTACCTTATTTGTTTGGAGAAAAAATAGCGTGTTTCATACGGAGTAGAAGCACTTTTTTGGGCTTCAGCAGTATAGCAAGCTTCAGTACAATCGACTCGCAAACCTACTGCTTCAGCACAAAAAAGTAAAGCTTCTACTCCTAATACAAAAATATATTATTTGTGTCGTTTAAATCATTTGCATATTAAATCTATACATATAAAAATCAAAGTTCGCGGGGTATCCGGATATGCGCTCCAAAACCACTTATCCGATTACGATGAAACTTTGGTAGGTTGTTATGGCCATCCCAAGGAAGGTTTGTGGATAGGTTACGCATCTCGGAAAAAGAAATTAATTTTGAATCAATTATTAATTTAATTGTAAACAAACTCATTCACATTACATAACAACATAACGCAACTTTTTTTGACAGCATGCCATATTTCATTTATTTAGGCTTGCATTCAACCGACGTAATTTTATTATTTTTTGAATTCAAGAACGGCTGGACCGATCTTGAATTAATACCACGTATCTCTATATAAGGTGAATTCGATTGACCCAGATTAGATCGATTTGGGTTCAATTTAAGTGAACTTCTCTTGATCTAGATCATTTTTTTGTTGATGAGGGTGCACTGCTCCAGCTTGAATCGAACACAGTGTGATTCACTTAAATTGAACCAGATCGATCTAATCCGGTCAATCGAATCGGCTATAGAGGAGAGTGATATAGGCTATTTTTTATCCCGAAAAAAAAAGTTCGGTTGCGTAAAACTCTGATACACTGGAACGCCTATAAACAGCCCGGGGCGCTCTAGAGCAGCTCTGGAGTGCTTAAAATGCGTCACTGAACTCACTGGCAAGCGACTATGATATCGGATTAAAAAAAAAAAAATTAAATAGAAAATCAACAACAAAATTTGAAAAGAAGTGTATTATTTCAAAATGTATTTACATGCTGGCAACGCAGCGGGTCATTAGCTAGTAATAAATATAATTTTGATCTTCCAAAATTCGTTCCAGTAAGTAAGGGTGTGCAATTTTTGAAACCAGCTCTTTGGTGCCTCTCGTAAACCATAAAAGCCTTATTGAATTTGCGAATTAACTTACAGTTTAGCATTTGCTCTGTCTTGACTCCCTCTGGAATTTCCATGTATACAGGTTTAGGTAAGTCACCATTCAAAATTGCACATTTCGGCTATGGTCCGAATATAACCGAACATTAACCAAAGTAACCAAATCGATTGACAGATGGTTACTGAAAATTCCAGTTACTTGGGGAACGCGAATATGAAATAAAAAATAATTGTCAGAATTAACAGATAAAACCAACAGAACCGCAATTTGATAGCCGGTAACTATTTTGACATTTGGTTAACCAGATTTCAGGAAACCAAGGTCCAAAAGTAACCACTTTTCCAGGAACCAGCGTAATTTGATTACCTACTTTCGGACCGCGAAACCACTACCCTGGTTATATTCATACCACAGTCTTCAGGTCTAACTAATTCACAAATAGACACACGCATGCGTGCTGCTGGTGAATAGACTTTAGAGCTGTCAAAGCTACGAGTCGTGCCTTCTTGATGATTTCACCATTATTACAGACTCTATCTCGAAACTTAATTCGATCACCTTCACATCATTCGGTCTTTCAATTATTTCCCATAGTTCATTTTGATTTAAAGCATTCAATTCACTGTCAATGGCTTCCTTCCAGTGAGCTAAGCCCATCGGTTTAGAAAAATCTGAGCATAGTAAGAAACGCCAAAGCCCAAATTACAGCACATAAAGAGGAAGTACCTACTTAAGATAGTGGAGAACTTCTATACAGATAATTATATACCACAGCAAAATGAGAGACAACTAACATCTCCAGTCATTATCAGGATCTGAATGTGGGATTGGAATGCATTCCAGAGAAAAATGATAAAGATGGAGTAGCCATTGAAGTCATAAAGTGTGGTAGCGACAAACTTGTAAATGCTCTAAAACTCTGAATGCCTCATAAACGGTGTGGAATGGAACAACCCTGTTATCACCTTGATCCACAGAAAGGGTAATTTAACAAAATTAGAAAACTACCGACCAATTATAGCCTGCTTTCCGATGCAATTGTACAAAATTTTCACCCAAATACCTAATCAGGAACAGCTTAGGTTACAGGTACCAAACTAGACTGTAAATTTTCTATTGAACCGCCACAATAATTAACAGCTCCTCATTCAATCAAAATTACCGAACTAAGTACAAAGGATTTGAAGATAACTCTCTATTTTTAAAATGTATGCGAATTCTGGTGCGTGTGTCTCACTTGACCATTTTGATTTAATTTGCAATTGATTAATGGTTTGATCCAAATTTATTTATGAATTTGTTACGAGTACGAGTCTTGCATTATAACACACCGCCACGACATTCCACTATTTGCATATACCTATTGAAAATCTGTGCGTTAAAGGAATGACATTAGATTTTTCAAGCAAGAAATTATGATAAATAATACTCTTATGGGTGGTTAATAAAAGGAAAAATGTAGAGACATATGTCATTACATTACCAAAGCCACAGGCCACTAAAATGAGACGTTGATTGAAACCCATAAAGCACTTTTCTTTTTGTAGGTACATCAGTTAACTCTATAAGAGAATCTTGATGACAGCTGCTACAAAATGTATAACAGAAAAAAAAACAATTTTAGAAACAATGAACCAAACTTACTTAAATAAGCAATTCCAGAGAGGTAATTTACAGTTACATAATGTAAAATATGTAACAGACGTGTTCGGATTTCCTCTTGTGCCATATGCAAGAATACCATAAGAATCGTTTAAGTCCATTTTAGGAATTAAAAAAAGCCAATACGTCACAGACTTCTTTCCCTAGAAGGTAGGTAAAAGATACTAGGATAAAATTAATGTTATTCTGTATAGTCATCGTGTGGCTTGTCCTAGATAAACTTAACATTGGTAGCTATTTAAACCTATTGCAGTTATTGTTTTAGAAGTGAGAAAAATGCGATATTATTCACAGACCTTGTCATTCTATAACCTATGTATTATGTAGAAAAAAGCTTTCCCATTTCTTAGGCTTAATCTTCATAAAATCTTCCATATTTTATAAGAAAAATTGTACTTGGGATAATAATTTAGTTAGGTAAATGAAAACAAATGACGGAAATCAGCGAAAAGTAATAACCATAAAATAACAATAAACAACCGTTTACTGATTAGAAAATGTCGAAATTAATTAATAAAGCCATAACAATTAAACCTGAATGCGACACAAAACGTGCCTTATAGGATTTTCAAAAAGATGAATCATTGAAGTATATCACCATTTCCTTAAAAATTTTCGTTTTGCACTTATGATCCATTCTCCATAGTGAAGCATATCTACCTATACCATTGTTAATGTGGTTCAGAAATTATTCTATTCCCGGAATGATCCATCTTTCATCGATGCAAACCACTTTTTTTTTTTAATAACTTATGGCTTTTTCAATCTCGTCTTTAGTGATCGATGGTCCAGAGCTGTAGCGATATTTCGTGGCTGCCTATATTTTGTACAGGAAACTTACAATGGATTTTCTATGAAATTAATAGAAAAAAGCGACGTGATGTTGAAATATCCCCGTATAATGCATGTTTCAAGTCAGAATAAAAATACTTTAACTTTTCTTCTTTTTCTAGTGATTTTTTTTGTGAAAATATCAATTACAAACATTCTACAGATTTCGATAAACAGCTCCAGAAATGGAAATTAAAGGTTTACTGTCAAAGTGACGAAAAAAAAGTATCTCGTAGATTAAATAACGACTCAAATCTGCATAAATAATTGTATGATATTATCATTGGAAAATAAATACGGCCTTACTTAATACTTATGGGAATATTCAATTAACATTGAATAAATTTAAAGTCCATGTGGGACAAGATTTTAGGTTATCCATCCGTGATTTCGATTCATTAAATCTAGAATGACGTTATTGGAATGATCATTTTCTTGATTTGTTTTTCAGCCCATAACTACAACAATAATAATTACTGATCTCAATTGTAATGTTTCAATTGACTTTTTGAGTTTTTTTACTACTTCTGGACATTATTTATTCATTTCGCTATTGATATTGCTTAAAATTGTTCGTCTCTACCTTAAAATTTCATTATTAACCACCAGTATTTGGAGAATCGATAAATCAATTAAAATACAATACAAAAATACCTTTGCACAATATGACTATGGCTATGAATACCAATCAGCCTGATAGATCGGGGAGAAATTGAACCGGATTTTTTATTGCATG